TTCCCCTACTTAGGTGACTTAGCCATTGTGTCTAGAACATGAACCCTATGTTAGGGGATGGGATGGGATGGGATGGGATGGTGGCTGTGGTAGGATGGAGGATAGGAAATGTAAAATGCTTTATTTATTAATTTTATCCTCACCTGAGGCTATTTTTTTCCATTGCTGTTCAGAAAGAGTGGAAGGAAGGGAGACAGAGATAGAAAAACATTGATGTGAGAGAGATAAGGCAACCCTTCACCTCCTGCTTGCGCCAACACAAGGGGGGTGGGGTGGGGTGGGGTGGGGGTAGCGGCAGGGAGCAAACCGGTGCTCGCACCGACACTAACCACTGAGAACACTGGCCAGTGATATAAAATGCTTTAAATCATACCCATAGCCCTGGCCCATGTGGCTCAGTTCCTTGAGTGTTGTCCTATGCATCAAAAGGTCGCTGGTTTGATTTCCATTCAAGGCACATGCCCAAGTTTATGGGTTCGATTCCTGGTTGGGTGTGTGAGGAAGGCAGCCAATCAATGTCTGTCTCTCTCTCTCTCTCTCTCTCTCTCTCTCTCTCAATTTTTAAAAACATATTAAGAACATAAATTAGACACATAAATCCAGCAGACCAGATCCCTGCACACATTTTATGCCTCCCACTACCACCCCAAGCTAGAATTCAGTCACGCAGTTGGCCCATTTGCATTGGGACCCTTCTGTCATGTGCTCCCCACATCTCTTAGCCCAGAGCTTAGCTCTGGCATGACGTTGGCCACAGTGTTCCAGAAGAATTCAGAGATCGTGATATTTTTCTTTACAAAGTTTTATATTGTATTTTTAAAAGGGAAAGCGTCTAATAAAAAGGTATTTATTATTGAGACAAAATTGTCCCTAAGTCCCAGCCACTCATATAATTTATTTGTTAGTGGGCATTTACTTTTATGGTTTTCAGTAAGCGTGTATCATTATGAGCCATTAAACTTTGAAACCGTTTTTTTAACGATGGCCTGAGGGTCCGCGCCACTTGACACTCCTGAGTCACATCCAGAACTATAACGTCAATGTAAATAGCTTACACTTTCACAACATTCTGCATCCCACACTGCGGCGGGCTGTTTGGAGCACTTATGAACACCAAGGGCAACTAAGCAACACTCACATAGTTCTCGTCTTCGGCTAAAAATAAGATTGTGAATCCATTTCCCAGTCTTTAGAGAAGCCCCTGTGATGATTACCAAAGACACAAACCACTTCCCTTGTCAGAACATCACGCATTGAAGAGGGAGCTGCCGGTAAGTAAGCAGAAGAGAGAGTGTATTGAGGCCAGGGGGGCGCAGTCACCGCGGTGCAGAGCCGCAGGATCGGAGAGAAAGGGCAGAGACTCGGCTGGGCGGGTGCAGGTGTCGCCTGGTAACGGGTGTGGAGAGTGTCGACACGCATGCAGAAAAGCACTAATGCTTGGAGTCTAGGTTTTATTGATGCGATTGGGGAAAGTGGTGGTATTTTTTTCTCCCTCAACCACATATGTTAAATGGTTACATAATAATCTCAGTAAGCCATCCCATATTCCATGTATATAATTTTTAGTTAAAAAGTAAAAATGATTCTGTGTTATTTCGTGCATTTTTATTTTACATGTTTTTACTACTCATAGGCAAAACCTACTTTCTCTATCAAAGCATTTTCATGTCGTGGAATTAAAGTACATTGTATTTATCAAAATAAGGTGGTTGCCACCTTATATTCTCCAGCTGTTATTCTTCAAGTGTCATTTTAGAAAATAACTATTATATTTAGAGCCATAAAAATATTCTGACAAATGCTAACAGCTCAGCATCCCACTATTTGATAAAAACTAAGAACTAATATAAAACACAGGATAAGCCCTAGTTTGGTGAGAGCATCGGACCTGAAAGGTAGCAGGTTTGATTCCATCAAGGGCATGTACCTCTGTTGCAGGCTCTATCCCCTGCCCCGGTGGGGCACGTGCAGGAGGCAACCAATTGATGTGTCTCTTTCACTTCGATGTTTCACTCTGTCTGTCTCTCACCCTCCCTTCCAACTCTCTCTAAAAATCAATGGAAAAAATATCCTTGGGTGAGGATACAACAACAACAAACCCACAAAAAACCCCACAAGACAAAAATAAATAGTGTGACATCTATATAGTACCCCTACATATGTGGCATAGCACCATGGTCTTTCTTAAAACAATAATAGGCCCTGACCCAGTGTGCTCAGTGGTTAGAGCATCAACCCATGCACCGAAGGGCACGTATCTCGGTTGCATGCTCAATCCCCGGCCCTGGTTGGGCATGTGCGGGAGACAACCAATCGATGTATCTCTCTCACATCGATATTTATCTCGATATTTCCCTCCCTCCCTTCCTTCCCCTCTGGTTCTCAACCTTCTGGCCCTTTAAATACAGTTCCTCATGTTGTGACCCAACCATAAAGTTATTTTCGTTGCTACTTCATAACTGTCATGTTGCTGCTGTTATGAATCGTCATGTAAATATCTGATATGCAGCATGGTCTTAGGCGACCCCTGTGAAAGGGTCATTCGACCGCCAAAGGGGTCGTGACCCACAGGTTGAGAACCGCTGCAAAAAAATCAATGGAAAAAATATCCTCAGGTAAGGATTAACAAAAACAAAAAAAACAAAAACAATAACAGACTCCCCTGGAATATGCTCAGACAGCAGGACATGTGAAATATTTGCCACATATTTGGTGTGTATTTAATCACTCAGCAAGTGTTTATTGACTACTCGCCATGTCACGCCACTGTGCTAGGCTGCTAGGCACTGCACTGGGGACACAGAAGTGAATAGCAGTGCTCTTGTCACTCACCGTTCTTCAGAGTTCAGTGGAGAAGACAGACAAAAACCAATTAACAGAAACTAAAAGGAAAAATGACAGACTGTGGCAAATATTATTAAGGAACAAATAGACCATTGTAAATATAGACTCATCCAAATTATGAAGTCATCCCAGTTATAAAATTTATTTCCATTTCTTGCCTGGGCATTTCATACTGGTATCTATAGATTTGACCAAACTGTGTGTATACATTTATTTATGCAACAAAAAAAGTTACTGCTTGCTAATGTGCCAGGCACTGTTCTAGGCCCAAGAGAAGAAGCAGTGAACAAAACAAAGTCATTGTGTTTGTGGTGACTTCTCCCTGGTAGGGAGACAGTAGACAAATATGTGATAAATGTCAGGAAGTGATCCATGATATGGAGAAAATAAAGTAGACGGAGGATAGTGACCAGAATGTTATGTTACTTGGGTGGATTGAGAAGGAGTCGCTGAGGAGAGAAACGTTTTCCTTCTTTTGTCTCTTGGGTCAGTTCGGTTAATGAATGCAGAATGCAAGATTGTTTTTCTATCTGTTGGTATCTTTCCCACAGTCGCTACAGGAGCTCTGGTGAGGTCTTCTCTCCAGTTCCCTTCACTAAAAGAGATTAAAAGCTGCATTCTTTTCTTCATGCTTTTTTCATTCTTCCGTACTTGTAAATGCCCAAGCGCCTTCATCCATCCACCCATCCATCCCTTTACCTTTTATCCAAAAAACATGCTGCGGTGTCTATTCCAAGTTTCCAAAATCTTGGGACATGATTTATTTGATTAAAAATTACATTGTACAATTAAATGCCTTCCAGATGTTTGATGATCACGTGGAGGGAGCTCTTCTATCCAAGAGTCCTTCTCCCAGTAAACTCTCAGCCACTGAAATTTGAGGTCTTGGGTGATCTTAGGGATCCCAGCCTTCATGCCCCAAAGCTCTAAATAAAATTGCACACCGCTCAAGTGCTCTATAGCATTGCACAAGCCTAAAATAGGTAACTGGCACCCTCCCCACACCTCACTGTTGGCTAACTGGCTAGTCCCATAAATAGCTCAGTGTTACACTTATTGGACAACGATAACTAACAGAGATGGGATTTTTGTTTCCTAACACACACGTGTAGTCTCTGGTGTTCAACAAAAGCAAGCTCTAATTCGCTGACTGTAACAGCTCTTGGGAGAATTGTGCCAATCAATAGCCAAATTAATTTTGGATGGGATTAAAGATAGCCCTGCCTTATACCAGAGTCTACATTAGGGATCAGTGTTAGAGCAAGATTCTGTGTTAGAAGTCCCTTCTGTGTACATGAAAGTAATGTTACCGCTGCAATCAGGTTAAGCCCAGAGAGTTTCTGCCAAATGAATTTAAAATTCTCAGTTGGTTCTGAGAAGGCATCTTGGTAGTTTTTATAAGACCGTTTTTCTGAAATCAAGAGCATATTTTAAAAATCTACCCGTATTGGAATATAATGGTTCTTGTTTCTGACTCTTAGCTGGAATGTATTGTTGTTATGTCGGAAAGATTTTTTAAGGCTATAATTTAACAGAACATTGCTTCATAAATTCTTTAGCAATAACTCAGAAGGTGAACCTTGGGGTATTTTTCCAATAAAGTTGTGCCCTTTGTGTGCAAAGCATTGTTGCTTAGGTAACCTAGTCATAATACATAGGGTTCAATCCATGCTTTACATATTTTCACTTTCCTTTTACTGGGTCTTTTTCAAAATGGCAGTATGTTTATTGTAATTCTTAAAAGTCAAAATAAGAATCTAAAACAAGTTTTTTAAAAATCCCCATGCTAATTATTCCTCATTACTGTTCAGATGCTGCTTACTGTTGCTTCAAGTTCGGAACAAAAGTGAAGAAAATGTCTATGATATCGAAGCTTATAGGCAGTTCTTCCCCTTTGCACTTTTGCTTCTAGAACTTCAGTATATTGTATAGTCAGAGCTTTATGGACCCACCTAGATAGCTTCCCATGGCCACATGGAACACCCACATCCTGAAAACATTGTAACGCTAAAATTCAGTTCAAGAACCCGGATCTTCAGTCCACCAAAAAGGGCTTAAAAAGCAATTATCTTTAATAACTATATTAATGTTTACTCTAGTGGATTTAAAAGGGGAAGAAATAAAACCACCCAAACCACCAATTGTTTGTTTAGCAGATTGTAAACATGGCTGTGTGGATCCAGGCCCAGCAGCTGCAAGGAGATGCCCTTCATCAGATGCAAGCCTTGTACGGCCAGCATTTCCCCATCGAGGTGCGCCATTACTTATCCCAGTGGATCGAAAGCCAACCTTGGTAAGTGAACCGACTCTTCTCCATCATATTTCATAAAGCACAAGCTTATTTCTTTCTTTATTTATTAATATATTTTATTGATTCTTTACAGAGAGGAAAGGAGAGGGATAGAGAGTTAGAAACATCGATGAGAGAGAACATTGATCAGCTGCCTCCTGCACTCCCCCCCCCACCCCCCCGGGGATGTGCCCACAACCCAGGTACTTGCCCTTGACCGGAATCGAACCTGGGACCCTTCAGTCCGCAGGCCGACGCTCTATCCACTGAGCCAAACCAGTCAGGGCAGCACAAGCATATTTAAATTTGGAAGATAACACGATGGGGACTCCAAAACTTATACCTTAAAAAAAAAAAAAAAAAATCCTGACCCGTGAAGAGGTATTTAGCGCCATCTGAAATTTTAGAAAGATAGAATGACTCTTAGGATTTTAAAAATAGGTTATCTTCCACCCGACCGGCATGGCTCAGTGGCTGAGCATTGACCTATGAGGTCACAGGTTGTGGCCTCGAGCCCCAGTGTGGAGCGTGCAGGAGGCAGCCGATCAGTGATTCTCTCCCATCATTGATGTTTCTCTCTCTCTCTCCCTCTCCCTTCCTCTCTGAAATCAATTTAAAAAATATTTTTTTAAAAATAGGATATCTTCTCTTTAATAGTATATTCTGGCTAAAACCATTTGAACATTGCCGCTAGTAAAAACCAATTAACAAATGTTCTGAGTGCCTATAGGGTGCCTCGCAGAGTCGTAGGTAGTAGAGTTCATATGAAAAAATTAAAACCTTCGTCCACATAGAATTTAGTGCTGAATGGGACAGATAAGCTATGTCCATTCACATAATTTTTTAAAAGTGTATTGTTAACAAATTCAACAATGGAGAGACATTGGTGTTTTCAAATTTATATGTAAATTATATGTACACATAAAGACTAAACGACGATACACCAAAATATTAACAATAATTATATCTTGATGGCAGATTTAACAAGCATGTTTATTTTTCTTATTTTCCAAATCACTCTGTATTATATATTCAGGGGGAATTGTTTTTAAACGCTTTTACGATTAGTACAATGCAGTCAACTGGTAGGAATATTTCTCACTGACATTATTGCACGCCAGGCAGTAGGACGCCCGCTGCTCTGCTCCAGGCCGGGAGCAGGTTGGTTTGTCACCAGCCGGTCAGTCTGATCTGACAGACTCATCCTCTGCTGCAGGCTTGCGCCATTGCGGGTGGCGTGGCCTCTCCGACAGAGGCCGGGAGGAGGCGGCCTTTATGCTGCTGTTCGAGGAGGGCTGTATCCCTGGCAGTCACGCTGCCTGGGAATAGTCGCAATTGTGTATTAGTAGCGAATTTCTCTCCAGAAACGAGAGAGCTCCGGGAAGGCAATTTTCTAGGCAATTAAAAAAAAAATCTCAGCCCCGTGTAATTAAGTGAGAAAAAGGAGAGCTAAGTGTGAGCGTGTCAGCTGCACCTTGCGTAGTGCTTTTCCATTTCCTTTTCTTTTTTAAAGATCTTGAGGAGTTCAGAAAAACATTAATAGGAGGTTTCTGTTTATTTAAAATGTCATTGGATAGAATTTCCACGTCGTCTTCTTACTGAGCAAATGTTAAGAGACTTGTGTTGATATTAAAGGAAATCTGAATTTTATTTAGTTAAAAAGATTTTTTCCCAATGACAGTGGCATACAATATTGTATTCGTTTCAGGTACACAACATAGTTATTAGACATTTATTTAACTTACGAAGTTACCATCTCAGTAACTCTAGAATTTTCCTTAGTTTGGGTTTTCTTAAGAATATAAAGATTGTAGCCTGGCCGGCGTGGCTCAGTGGTTGAGCGTCGACCAATAAACCAGGAGATCACAATTCAATTAGGGCACATGCCCAGGTTGTGGGCTCGATCCCCAGTGGGGGGCGTGCAGGAGGCAGCCAATCAATGATTCTCTCTCATCATTGATGTTTCTGTCTCTCCTTCTCCCTTCATTTCTGAAATCAATAAAAACATATTTTTTAAAAAGAGTGTAAAGATTTTAATTAAAATGTCCAGTTCTTCATGTTTACAGTAAGAAAATATTTGGGGTGGGGGGACCTGGGGGGAAGGACAGAGAATTAAGTACAAGAACCAGTACTTGTTTTCCATGAGACTGGATCTTCTCAAGAATGGCTTCCTCGGACGAGGAGCGTTATTGCCGGTTGACACAGGGGTGCATGCTGGGCCGCCATTCCTTCCTTCCAGGCTTTTATTTAATATCTATTTTATTTAGTCCATAGACCGTGCACATTTAACATTTGACTTTCTCTGCTGCCTTCTCCAAGTGCATAAGTTCAGCACATCGTTTGATGAAGTCCGTTACCAACGTGTGGTACTCCTGTTTGTGCCTCCATTTGAAATTAGTTGCTAACTGACACGATGGGGTTAGAGGTGACAGCACTTTTTAGCGAGCACAGAATCTCTTGTTTGGCTTTAGACTCAAGCAACAGCAATTGAATATTATTTCAGTCTGATAGCTGTTTGGCTTCTCCAGTGAGCTGAGTAATTAAGTTCTGCCAAATAGCAACTGTTGCCTTAAATTGTTTAAAACATGAGCGTGTCGGGGAGGGGGGCTGAGAACGGGGGAAGGAGAGAGGGAGGAAGGGAGGCCATCCAAGCCCTGTCACCGTCGCCTGGCTCTGCATCAGTACAGAGCCTCTGGTTCCCTGGGGGAGTTAGTGTTGCCTGCAGGTCCCGCGTCTGCGACTTGTGTAAACGCTCTAGGAAGAGTCTGTCTGAATGAATCATTTCCAAGGCTTCTTAGAAACAGCAATAAGTGTTGTTTCACCTGCCTTAAGAAAACACTTTATATGTGACATTCGCAACATACAGAACCATTCGAGGGTGGAAAAAAAAAAAAGGTAGAACATTCTCGACATTGTGCCGCTTACACCGTGAAGGGGTGACTGTAAATAGGAAATTACCGGAGCCCCGCTTCCTTCAGTGTGCACAGAGCACGTCCCTCTCCCTTCATTCCCAGCGGGGAGCACGGGCACCACAGCAAGGGAGTAGGAGGAAGAGCAAGGGCAGCACATTGTTAAAAAAAGAAGAAAGAAAGACAGTAGACTCTTATCCAGTCCACTCAGGCAGTCAGTGGATTAGGGTTAGGTGCATGCAGGCATCTGGTCCATCTGAATGGAACGCTCCTCAAATGTGCAGTGAGCTTTACGCCGAAATCTCTTTAGCCAGAGACAGGGTGTGATGTGTTGAGGCTGCATTGATACAGGCTCATGTGCATGTATGTATACATATGTGTGTAATTTTTTTCCCCTAGGGACTCAATAGATCTTGATAATCCACAGGAGAACATTAAGGCCACCCAGCTCCTGGAGGGCCTGGTGCAGGAGCTGCAGAAGAAGGCGGAGCACCAGGTGGGGGAAGATGGGTTCTTGCTGAAGATCAAGCTGGGGCACTACGCCACGCAGCTGCAGGTGGGTGTGAGCGCCGGTCGCCGCTGCCGGCCCCCGGCGGGCCTCCTCCGTTCGGCACTCCCTCCCTCCAGACAGTTTCTTTCCCTTCAGCCCAGTGCTGTCGTCGTCGTCCTCGAGCTGCCCGCATAAAGCTCCTGTTGTTTATTGTCACGGTTGTAGCTTTTTAAACTTTGTATTTGAAAATAACGTCCAGTTCACAAAACGTTGCGAGGTTGCTACAAAGACGCCCATTGTTAGCATTTGCTTTATCATATCATATCACATCACACACGTTTTCTTGGTCACTTGAGAGCAGGTTGTGCACATCACGTCCCTTTGCCCCAAGTACTGCAGCGTCCGTTTCCTAAGACTGTGCGCCTTCTCGTACATCGTTGTCGTCCTGTCATCACCGTCAGTAAACTGGGCGTTGACAGACGCCTTCGGGTGACTTTACGTCTGTCTTCCCATCTTGTCAAATGACTCGATGCCCTGTAGGGCGTTTATTTCCGCCCCCTCCAGTCCGGGATCCAGCCCAGCGTCCCATCGTGCGTCTAGTCATCGTGTCTCCTTAATTGCCTTTAATCTGGAACTGTGTCTCAGCCTTTCTTTGTCTTTAGTGACACTGACACTCTGAAGAAATTCAGCTCCTCTACTTCTTAAAGATAAAACGTATCTCATGTTGGGTTTGTGTGGCGTTTCCTCATGATTAGATTCGGGTTACACAACCCTGATCCGCACCCTGAAGGCTGTTGTGTCCTTCTCACGGCACCACATCTGGAGACGTACAACGCCCATCTCCCCGTCGCTGGTGGAGCGATTTGCATTGCCCAGCATAATGGTGTCCAGGTTCTCCTCTGAGGTGGCCTTTTGACGTGTATTCCTCCTGTGTCCAAGAATGATGCCCTAGTACTTCGGGCACATTAGGGCGCAAGAAATGAAATGCTCTTACCTTCTTACGTAGTTGGGTTTTTTACAAGGTGCTTTCCTTGTCCCCCGTTGATATTGGAGGAGCAGCATAGCTCATGATTACAGCGCCGTGTCTCTAGGAGTCTGCTCCAAGGCAGGGTTAGGCCCGTAGCATGGAGGGGAACAGAGTGATGTCTGCTCTTGGATTCTTTCAGAACACGTATGACCGCTGCCCCATGGAGCTGGTCCGCTGCATCCGGCACATTCTGTACAATGAGCAGAGGCTTGTCCGAGAAGCCAACAATGTGAGTGTCCCCTGGGTGTGGGGAGAGGAGTTGGGAAACCCCATCTTGCCCACTTCCCTCTGGACCCCGTTTGTCATGATGGCTCGGGGCGCACCTATCAGTGTCTCTATAAACAGAGTCTTGTTCTAAGAGGCAACAGGAAATAGAAGACTGTACTCTGCCCTTAACTGATGTATAGCCTGATGAGCTTGCAACCACAAAAGAATGTGCACAGGTGTGAAGTAATTCAACCCCCAATGAATAATTTTTCAGTCAAGTCATGTCTATATTCAGGTGACACTTCTGCCCGCCTTCTCTCAGCCAGCTGGTGAAGGAATGGATCAGACCAGGTCACTTCAATGCCTGGATCCACAAAGCCCTTGTGGATGCCCCCCACACACACACCTGTAACTTCACTTTGGGGTCTCCAGGATGATACCTGGGAGAGGTTCCCCTGATTCCCTCTCCCCTCAGTCACAAGTAGGTCTTGAATGAGAGCAAAGACACTGTGTGTTCACCTGCCCGTTCCCCACTTTGTCCCCAGGGGTCATCATCATTAGTAGGAAAACCCAGGTAACTTTGAAGGGAACTAGATGGACCGTGATTGGGATAGTCTGGTGGAGGCCAGAGCTGCACTAGGAATTCCTGCTGTGTTTTAGGAGGATGCCATGGTCCGCCAGCGCACCCTCTTCTCCTCGTTTCCGACTCTACACCAATTCTCACAAATGACGTTTGCAACTCCTAGGACTCAAAGTTAAGGTTTTGGGGTTTCATCCCCGTGACAGGTGCTGGCTGAGCCCTTGCACTGAGGCCTGAGTGGTCTCCCGTCCTCACTGCTGCCTGCACTCTGCCCTCGCTCTGTGTCCAGGGTGCCTCTCCAGCCGGGAGTCTTGCCGACATCATGTCCCAGAAACACCTTCAGATCAACCAGACCTTTGAGGAGCTGCGGCTGGTCACGCAGGACACCGAGAACGAACTGAAGAAGCTGCAGCAGACTCAGGAGTACTTCATCATCCAGTACCAGGAGAGCCTGAGGATCCAGGGTGAGGCGGGCGGGAGTGGGGCTGGGAAGAAGCTCAGGTCCTGTGGGGAGAGAACCACTGCCTTTCTCTGCAGCATCGGGGACTCGTTCGCGTTGGGAAGATGAGGCCTGGGAAGGGGAGAAGGCAGAGGCTTGCCTTCGGAGAGTGTGGCTCTCACTCAGGCTTCCCATACCCAGCCGGCTCCTGGTCTTGCAGGAAGCGCTCCCAGTCCAGTAGACAGCACCCAGACGGTGGTTTTGTATGTTTTAAGTGCCGCTTTACTCTCTGAGCAGGGCCAGTGTAAGGGCTCAGGACTGTGTTTCTGGTGACAAACTTTTCATTTTCTGCACAGCTTTTCAGAGAGGCCATCCTGGGGCACATTAGTTGCCCGTAGACAAAGGCCCCCCTTCCTGGTGGGAATCCAGCCTGGCAGTCTGGGTACAGAGAACTTCAGAGTCAGCCCAGAGGCTGTGGAGCCTCAACAGCACCCTCTGCTGTCCTTGTGGGGGCCTGGCAGTGTGGCAGTGGTTTCCTCAGAGAAGCCTTTGCTGCACCAACCAGCCATTCAAACACACACACACACACACACGCACACGCACACACACACGCGCGCGCGCACACGCACACGCACACGCACACACACACACGCAGTGTGCTCTTCTAATACCACGCGTGTGGGCGCCGTCCTGTAATTATATCGATACTGTTTATTAGCTGTGTCTTCCCCACTAGGATGTAAATTCTTTGAGAAGGGACTGTGTCTTACATCTCTATACCCTCAGGCCAGCACATTGCCTGAATCACAGTAGGTGTTGAGTAAATGGTGGGATGAGTCTAGCACGTCTCCTTCCCATCTGATTCCACACCTGACTGGCCCTGGGGCGGGCGGTGGGGGCGTGGAGAAAGCCCGCTTCCCAGATGGGGGAACAGGATAGCCAAGCTCTCAGTTCTCTCCCAGACTGGTCACCATATCGATGATCCCACTCTTGGGTTTTCTGTTTCCTGTGTATGGGTTTGGGCTTGGGTTCTGGTTTGGGCTTGTACCCAGCAGGCAGTGTCAGTTCAGTCTCATTTATCAAGTTCACCATCAGAAACACAGACTATCGATCTGTTGTGCAGAGAAGGCTCAGTTCCCTCCAGTGGAGCAGACAATTGCCCCACATCTCCTGGCGTCCTTCCCAGAAGCGCCTGCAAATTGCCCGGAGAACCCTAACTGGGTCGCTCGCAGAGGGAGGCCGCACCAGGTGTTGGGGACACCACCACCTCCCTGTGGTGGCAGGAGCCTGAGGTGGCCCCCAGACGACCCTGCTGTGCTCCCTGCTGGACGATGCTCTCCCTGCTCAGGCCCCTGCAGTGAGATGGGCGCCGTCTCTCCGAACGCCCTTCTCGTCTGGGCTCTTCCTGGCTGTCTAGAGTTGCTTTGGTCTGTCCCAGCCTGTGTGACCTTGGGGCAGGGCCTAGGTCAGTGTGACGTGGCCCTCAGAGGCCTGCCAGGAGCTTGACCAAGACAGGCTGATGCTCACATCTTCTTGACTCAGCCCGAGGAAGGACACTGGGTGTTCAAAATGGCTCTTGGCTGCGCATAATCACCCCAGAATTTAGGCTAGTGTTTCCCTAGGCGGGGGATGGGATTGCAGGCTGTGGAGGTGAGCAGGTGGCTTTAATTGGGAAATGTTTGATTGCTTAATGTGGGTTATGAATTCACAGGTGTTTTTATATGATTCTTTCTCCCTTCCCTAGGTCTTAACTATTTCATAACTGATATTTTTTTTAACCCCCACCTGAGGATATTTTTCCATTGATTTTTAGAGAGTGGAAGGCAGAGGGAGAGACAGAGAGGGGAAAACATCGATGTGAGAGAGACACATCAATTGGTTGCCTCCCACATGCACCCCGACCAGGGCCGGGAGCCTGTAGCCCAGGTATGTGCCCTTGACCAGAATCATACCCGGGACCCTTCAGTCCACAGGCTGATGCTCTATCCACTGAGTCAAACCAGCAGGGCCATAACTGCTTTTTTTTTTTTTTTTTTTTTTTTTAATATATAGCATTTCATTGATTTTCTACAGAGAGGAAGGGAGAGGGACAGAGAATCAGAAACATCGATGAGAGAGAAACATCGATCAGCTGCCTCCTGCACATCTCCCCACTGGGGATGTGCCCACAACCCAGGTACATGCCCTTGACCGGAATCGAACCCGGGACCTTTCAGTCCGCAGGCCGACGTTCTATCCACTGAGCCAAACCGGTCAGGGCAACTGCTTTTTTTTTTAAAGGGTAATTATGCCTCACTGACTCCCTGCCATTGATAATCTTCCTAAAGGTTATCTCTCTCTCTCGCCTTCTCTCTCTCTCCCCCTTTCCTCTCGCTCTTTTCCTGTTGGTCAGCTGAGCTCACAGTGACCCAACCTGGACAAACTCGCTAGGCGCCTTCCTATGCAGAGAAACTCCTCTCCCTGAGGAGAGGCAGCTGTGCCCCAGGAGGCGGCACAGGCCCAGGAGCAGGGCCTTCCCTGGCGAGGCCGAGGCTGAGAGCTGCTGGTCCCCGTCACCCTTCAGTCCTGCCCCGTAGCCCATTGAGCAACAAGGACTAACTCTCACCCAGAGCTTCCAGGTGCCAGGCAGCTCCCTGAGCATTTTCCATATCAGCACTTTTCATCCTTCCTTCCGCCGAGGCAGGGAGCAGGCGTCCCTGTTTTGCACACGGGGAGACTGAGGCACAGGGGAGTGAGGGGATTCCCCCGAGTCCACCCCGCTAGCAGATGGCCAGGCCGAGGCAGACGAGGCGGAGGGCTCCAAGCCGGACCCCAATGTGGCGTGAGGAAGGCGGGGCCCCAGCCGTGTGGGCTGGGGTGGTGGGATCCTCCTCAGCTGTCCCCACAAGCTTCTGTCTCCTCGTCCCTAGAGGGGAGCTCAGAGTTGGGGGCCAGGGAGTGAAGCTGGCGCCTCTCCCGGGCCCTTGGCTGCCAGATCCCTGACTGGCCGTTGGTCAGACACGTCCCCCTGAGGGTCTTGTCTGCAGAGCAAGTGAGTGTGGTTTCTCTGGGTTTCCTGCTGGAAGCTGGGGGTCATGGCCATGGTGTCCTGTCCCTCCTGCAGCTCAGTTTGCCCAGCTGGCCCAGCTGAACCCGCAGGAGCGTCTGAGCCGGGAGACAGCCCTGCAGCAGAAGCAGGTGTCCCTGGAGGCCTGGCTGCAGCGCGAGGCCCAGACGCTGCAGCAGTACCGCGTGGTGAGTGGGGTGTGCGTCCCTCTCCTCCGGGCGTGGGGGTCCACATCCTGAGCTGTCGGGGACCGAGAGAGGGACAGGCCCGGACCCCGGGGGACAGGAGGCCTGTGGGGGCCTGTGAGGCAGAGCGGGTCGGAGGGGGCAGGCCCGGCCTCCTGAGCGAGGCCCCGCAGGGCTGTTCCCCAGGAGCCAGAGGGCCTGCCCCCCCCCCCCCCCAGGAGCTGGCCGAGAAGCACCAGAAGACCCTGCAGCTGCTGCGCAAGCAGCAGACCATCATCCTGGACGACGAGCTGATCCAGTGGAAGCGGCGGCAGCAGCTGGCCGGGAATGGGGGGCCCCCTGAGGGCAGCCTGGACGTGCTGCAGTCCTGGTAATGGGGGGGGGGGGCAGGCAGGGAAGGGGGCCGGGGCTCAGGGTGGTCCACCAGCTGCTTATTCTGCTCCCGAGTTGCCATGTGCGGCCGCTCGCTCTGCCCGGTGGCAGGTCTTCCTTCACCAGTGGTCTGGTTCCCGACACAGACTCTGGTGCCCCGTCGTGCCCCTCCCTGGGAAGGGAGTCACTGTGTTGGGGTGGGGCAGGGCCAGGTGCTCTGGGCTGATGCTCGGCTGGTCGGGTACAAACCGGGGTCACGCCTCCTGCGTGTCTGTGTTTCTGGAAGTCAGGGCAGCCCCTGTCCTGCTCTGCTCAGTGGACAGGAGTGGGCGCTGAGGTGTAAAGCCTTCCTGGGTGAGCGTGGGGCTAGGTCTTGGGGGGCTCACCCCAGCCTGGAGCCTCTTCACCTTTGGCCTCGGGGAGGGGTGAAGGCCTGTCCTTTCCTTTGGCCCTGGGGCTGGGGTGCAGGTGTGAGAAGTTGGCCGAGATCATCTGGCAAAACCGGCAGCAGATCCGCAGAGCAGAGCACCTCTGCCAGCAGCTGCCCATCCCCGGCCCCGTGGAGGAGATGCTGGCTGAGGTCAATGCCACCATCACAGACATCATCTCCGCCCTGGTGACCAGGTGACTGCTGCCTCTCGGCCACACCCAGCCCCGCATGTGGTTGGCCTGGGGGAGGCAGGGGGTGCTTTGCAGATAGGGGGGGGGCTCTCACTGGCACCCTTGTCTCTCTCTGCTCATACCCTTTCCCTTCTGTCCCCAGTCGCCGTTGACCTTTCCCAGTTTCTCTTGTGAGCGCTACCTGGGCTGCCCTTGCTTCCTGCAGCCCCATGCCAGCTGCCGAGTTCACTTCCCTGCCTCCCCTCCCGCCTCCCCGCGGCTCTCAGTGGCCCCCCTGGGAACAGGGTGTCGGCCACGTGCCCTTCCTCTGCCTGCCAAGCCCTGTGTGCGGCCTCCTCCCCACACGGGGACCGGAGCCCTGTCCCCTGAGGCAGCATCTCGTCCCTTGGGTCCCCGCAGCACGTTCATCATTGAGAAGCAGCCCCCTCAGGTCCTGAAGACCCAGACCAAGTTTGCAGCCACCGTGCGCCTGCTGGTGGGGGGGAAGCTGAACGTGCACATGAACCCCCCCCAGGTGAAGGCCACCATCATCAGTGAACAGCAGGCCAAGTCGCTGCTCAAGAACGAGAACACCCGCAAGTACGTGCGTCCTTCCTGCGTCTCGGCCCCTTTCCTCTCGGCCTGGCCGTGGGTGGAGGGGTCCTCCTCAGAAGGGTCCCATGTGGGGACCCGGCAACCCTGCTGGCCTCTCTGGCTCTCAGAGAAAGAGCAGAAGGGGTTCTTCTGTGCAGATAGTATGACATGGTTTCACTTAGTAGGAATTCACTTAAGAAAACTTTTGTATATTTTATGTATATTTATTTCTTGTGTTTTATGGAGCTAACGTGTCTTCTAAATGACGTAAATTTTTATTTATTTTTTAAATATGTTTTATTGATTTCAGAGAGGAAGGGAGTGGGAGAGAGACAGAAACACCAGTGATGAGAGAGAGAGCCATTGATTGGCTGCCTCCTGCAGGCCCCCCACTAGGGATCGAGCCCGCAACCCAGGCATCTGCCCCTGACCGGAATCGAACCTGGAACCCTTCAGTCCTCAGTCTGACTCTCTGTCCACTGAACCAAGTCAGTCATAGCATGACATAAGTTTTTAAATACCTTCTGTGGTTCCTCCAACCCCGAGCATATCTCTGCCCGCTGTGAGCCGAGACCCTGCGGGGGTTTAGAGCTGCGTCTCTTTCTGATTGGCAGCGAGTACAGTGGAGAGATCTTGAACAACTGCTGTGTAATGGAGTATCACCAGGCCACCGGCACGCTCAGCGCCCACTTCCGGAACATGGTGAGGTGGAGGGAGGGGAAGAACAGATTTCCCCTGCTTATCTGAGGACCTGGCCGCCTGAGTTTTCTCCTTTGCAGTCCCTGAAACGCATCAAGAGGTCTGACCGTCGTGGGGCAGAGTCAGTAACCGAAGAAAAATTCACAATCCTGTTTGAATCACAGTTCAGTGTTGGTGGGAATGAGCTGGTTTTTCAAGTCAAGGTAAAGCCCTCCCTCAGCAGTGTGTCTGTGAGCACTTTATTCACACAAGAATTGTTTGGGTCACATAGTCCCTTTTTAAAAATTTTTTATTGATGAACAGAAAGTGAGGATGGATATTTGTTACTTGCTTCCTCCCCCCCACCTTGCACACACACCCCAAAAGGTCTCCATACTCTCTCTTTAAAAAATACATATATATATCCTATATAATAAAAGGGTAATATGCAAACTGACCCTAACAGCAGAACGACTGGGAATGACTGGTCAGTGTGCTCCCACAGGGGGAGCTCTGCTCAGCCACAAGCCAGGCTGACGGCTGCCAGTACAGTGGTGGTGGGAGCCTCTCCCACCTCCTCAGCAGCGCTAAGGAAGTTCCGACTGCAGCTTAGGCCTGCTCCCCGCTGGCAAGTGGACATCCCCCGAGGGCTCCCAGGCTGCCAGAGGGATGTCTGACTGCCAGCTTGGGCCCGATGCCCCAGAGAGCATCCTCCAAGGGGTCCCAGACTGCAAGAGGGCATAAGCTGGGCTGAGGGACTCCCCCCCCCACCCCAGTGCACAAATTTTTGTGCACCGGGCCTCTAGTATACGTATATAATGTTCTTATTGATTCTAGAGAGAGGAAGGGAGAGATAGAAGCATCAGTGATGGAATAAAATCATTGATCGGCTGCCTCCTGTATGCCCCCTACTGGGGATCAAGCCCACAACCCAGGCATGTTCCCTGTCCTGGAATGGAACTGTGATCTCCTGGTTTGTGGGTCAGTGCTCAGCCACTGAGCCACACCGGCTGGGCCGTACTCTCTCTTCTCTCTCTTGTTCTCTGTGTAACTTAGAGAACTTATTCCATCCTTCAGAAATACCTAATGAAACCTCTTTTACCATATCTGAAATGCCTAAGATTTTGCCAATGTGGAGAAGTCATATTATTCCTGGAGCCATTCACATTCTGTGCCCCAGGTGACATTCACTGAAGCTTCAAGAATGAACATGTGGTGATTGAAAAAAAGAAGAGAAAGGGAAGAAGTGTGGCTTGTGGGCGCTCAGCCCTTCTGTGTATTTGCAGACCCTGTCCCTCCCGGTGGTGGTGATTGTCCACGGCAGCCAGGACAACAACGCGACGGCCACGGTTCTCTGGGACAATGCTTTTGCGGAATCTGTGAGTTGATCCCTTGGGCCTGAGGGTCTCAAGATCTTGATGCTGGTGTGATGAATCTCTTTCACGTGTTATCCCCAAAAGAGCATAGAAAAAAAAATGCTGTTCTTGTTGGCGGGAGACAGAAGGGAGTGTGTGTAGGAAATGGAAAGAGGATGGGCTTGACGCCAGGCCCAGGTTTCAGGGCAAGCTGCCCCGTGTCCTCACTCTGTGGCTGTGGGAAATTCACTTTCCCTCTCTGAGCTCAAGGCCCCTAAGTGTCTACAACCCAGGATCATAATGCTCCCTAGTGTCGTTAGGAAGATAAACTACATAACGTACAAAATGCTTGTCTCAGACTCCATGCTCAGGAGCTTTTGTTTTGAATCCCTGAGTGAAACCATACGTGGAAGTTGGGGCTCCCAGGTTCCTTCTGGAGGTGCAACCTCTCAGGAGGTGCCTTTAGCTCAGAAGTTGCTTCCTGTCATCCTCCTTCCAGTAAATGAGGGTGACATTTAGTTGCCAAATGTTAGGTTCTGTGATTCATCCCAGGTCTCTCATGAAGAATGAGATGCTTTGCCTAAGGGTAAAAACACGATTTTATGGGTTTATGCACCCAAATGCTCTCTGAATACCACTGGCGTGCTGCCTGCTGAGCATTTTCACACCATTCAGTAGGCCCAGTTCTACGTGTATTTCCAGTAGAGGTTAGTCTGTAAAAGTATGATTAGAGGGTTCTAGTTGTTATTTGGGACATAAAAGTATGTTCTTCTCTAATGGGAACAGTCTTACATTCTCAACAGTTTTCTCTACAGAACAATGTATTTGCTGCAGAGGTGAGATTCTTATCAGAAATTCTGCTATGCTGTGCTACAAACCCTGAGTTTGAGGCTCCTTTTGAAAACCATCTGCCTATATCTTGTCCTGATAAGCCTGCTGGGTAGGATTGCCACATCTCTCGTCTCCTTCTCTGCCTGTCCCCAGGCCTCACTCCCCCGGCCACTTTGGCATCCCCTGCAACATGTCATTGCTAAAGTGTCTTGTCTAAACATATAAGCATTTTTTAAAACATTTTCAGAATGTTAGGGTGCATTTATTTTATGCTTTTTAAAAATAAATACATACTTATGGGAATTTATAGGTACATCTGTATATATGTCATGATATAAGCATATTTCAGCGTTGCTTAGCTAAAGGTTGAAGGCTGACACATAGATGTCCATGTATGGGAGTCTGGTTGAATATACTATTATTCTTCCATTAACGTTAACTGCTTTTGTGGCAAGATTACTTTAACATACACTTTAGTGAGCACTTATTATTTACTGAGGCCAGTACTAATTATGGGAAGCACAAATGTATACCCATGACAAAGCTGCAGATAATACCAGAGCCTGTGTAAAATCTTATTATGGGGAACACAAGTACTCATTTTGAGAAACACAGATGTATAACCCTGACGTAGCTACTTGTAATACAGTGTCCTGTCCATATCTATCCTATATAATAAAAGGCCAGGGACCATAAGTGTAATGACCAGAATGACCGCTCAACCAGTTGCCATGAGGTGCATTGACCATCTTTTGGTCCCTCCTACCCCTGGCCTGCGAGCGGCAGCTGGAGGCGGCAGGCAGGGCGGCTGGCGGCGGTAAGCGGGAGCGAGCTACGCATGCATGATTTCGTGCACTGGGCCTCTAGTATATATATAAAAGCCTAGTATACAAAGTGTCCCCTCAGGAGTTCTATCGCTCGCTATGACATGCACTTTCCACCAGGGGGCAGCGTGGATCGAAGGGAGGCCACGGCTGCTAGGGACCATACCCGTGCACAGATTTTGTGTACTGGGCCTCTAGTTGTAGAATATGTAGCAGCCACAAACAAAAATAAGGAATTTCTTTACATGCTGATGTGAGGTCTCCCAGGTTTAGTATTAAGTGAAAAAAGGGAGATGCAGGACATGTGGATTTTATGCTTCCATTTGTATTTTTTGAAGGAAAAATTGTGTGTATTTGCAGGCCAGCATAGAATAGCTTTGGAGGTGTAAACAAGAAACTACATCACATGCCTTTGGGAAGAGGAACTGGGTTGCTAGGGGACAGGACTAGGAAAGAGACTTCACTGTATAACTTGCTGTACTTTAAAAATTTCATATCATGTGAAGGAATTGCCTACTCAAAAATATTTTCATGATAATTAAAATGAAGTACTATGGCTGAATGGAATGAAAAACAGTTTATTACAAATTCATATTCTCACCTGTTTTTAATAAAGCTAACTCATAGTTACTATTCTTTCTTAAGTTGTTTCACTTTGAGCCAGAGTTCTTTCTTGGCAGAAGTTGTCAAAGACAAGGATTACACTTGTGCACACACATGTATGAGCGTACACACACACACACACACAGTCTCTATCTGTCTCTCTGTACCTAGAGAATCGGTGTTTTAGATTTCTGTTCCCATTGGGTTTACAGCCAGACCTCAGTCATGTTTTGTTTTAGTGGCTGTGAGGATGTAGGGTTGGACCATTTGCAGGACACTGTTGGTAGCACGAGGCTGCCCTCTGTATTGTGTGCAAAGAAGGTAAGATGAACCTTCTGAGTTTCCAGAACTGCACACCCCATGGAAGTTTGAATTTATCCTCAGCCTCAGTCGGACAAACGTTTGTAACGCCATCCCGCCACCAATGTCTTTCTTTTGTGGGTTGAGGAAATAAATCATGCAACTGTTCTCTCAGAAGGCTCTGGCTTCTCTCCCGCTCAGGGCAGGGTGCCCTTTGCCGTGCCTGACAAAGTGCTGTGGCCGCAGCTGTGTGAAGCGCTCAACATGAAATTCAAGGCCGAAGTGCAGAGCAACCGGGGCCTGACCAAGGAGAACCTCGTGTTCCTGGCGCAGAAGCTGTTCAACAGCAGCAGCAGCCACCTCGAGGACTACAGCAGCATGTCCGTGTCCTGGTCCCAGTTCAACAGGGTGAGGGCGCCCCCCCCCCACACCCCCCACCTGCTTTGAGGGAGACCAGTCCCTTCCAACCAGACGCCTGCAGGAGCCTCCCTTCCCCAGCCCTGGGGCTTCCCGTCTCTAATAAAATGCGCCTGAAGCAACAGGAAGCTCCTGAATAGACAACGACATGTTTTTTATGTAGAAAATCACGTCTTTGCATATTTAAGTAAATGGGTCTTTGTGTGAAGCTGGTGCGTTTTATAAAGGAAGCAGAGCCGGGAGAAGTACAGCTTTGGTGATGATCAGAACGTCATGGCTCAGTCCCGTTGACGCCGATGTCCCCTGGTGTGTGATGCGAAGTCAGGCTCCCGTGGACCCTCAGCCCACCCAAGCGGATGCTGATGGAAGGCCCTCTTCCTCTAGCATCTGCTCATCCAGACGTCCCCTGTCACATCTTTGATTTGAAATTTAACATTTTTCTTTTTACACCATCACCCCTGCCTCCACCCCAGGGTTTTAAGTACCCTCATTCAGAGATCTCACAGTCTCTGAGTCTAAATCTTTTAAGTGGTTGTGTGTTAACCAGTTGGCCAACGTGTTGGCTGGCAGTCAGAGGTGTTTTGATAGGGGGCAGCAGGACTTTCACTAGAATCTGATAGCTGCATTCTGCTGATCATTCTTGGTGACTGCTGTGTGCTGGAGCAATCTCTGTGGCCTTGTGATCTAATCCAGTTCAAATTTACAAGCTCCCTGGGCATCTGGCTAAGATGCCGACGCTGATTCAGTGGGTCTGGGATGAGGCCTGAAAGTTTGCATTTCTCAGGAGCTCTTGGGTGCTGCTGCTGCTGGTCCCAGAGTCCACATCAAAACCAGCAAAGGACCGGTCAGCCCAGGGGGCAGGTGTTCGCAGCAGGGGGTGGGAATCGCTCTGTGCTGTTTTGCCCTGTTTGCTTCTTTTCTCCTCTATCTTGTTTTTTGTAGTTGTTGTTGCAGGACCATTTATTTGGGAAAACTCAGGCAGGTCTTTATATTTGTATGATTCTGACAGTTGTTTTCCATTTGGTTTTTCCAGTTAAAGTAGATACAGGTACTGTTCCGAGTGTCACCTCTGCCTTCTTGTGTTCATTGTTGTGTCTCCAATCAGGAGAATTTACCAGGACGGAATTACACTTTCTGGCAGTGGTTCGATGGTGTGATGGAAGTGTTAAAAAAGCATCTCAAGCCTCATTGGAATGATGGGTGAGAATCATCATTTCTTACGTCTGCCATAAAGTAGGAAGGTTGTCTTTCTACGGTTTAAAAAAAAAAATCACACTCTGCTTCTGCTCCTTTGACCTTTGTGATCCAGGGCTATTTTGGGTTTCGTGAATAAGCAACAGGCCCATGATCTACTCATTAACAAGCCCGATGGGACCTTCCTGCTTCGATTCAGCGACTCTGAAATTGGCGGGATCACCATAGCGTGGAAGTTTGATTCTCGTGAGTGCCCCTCCCTTTAACTAGTAGAGACCAGAGGGCCCCGCCCGGTTAACTGCTTTTGTTGCAAGATCGCTTTAACGCACACTTCAGTGCGTCCGTATTATTTGCTGAGGCCGGTGCTGATTATGGGAAGCACAGATGTAGACCCAGGACAGAGCTGCAGATGATATCAGAGCCTGTGTAAGATCTTGGTACGGGAAACACAAGTACAGTGGGGCCCTGACATACGAGTTTAATTCCTTCCGAGACTGAGCTCGTTAAGGAGCTCGTTAACTCAAATTACTCTATCAACTCAACGCAAAAAATCGGCCGAGACAGCTGATATCTCAAAAAACTCGTTAGTCGGGACACTCATAAGTCAAGGCCCCACTGTACTAATTTTGAGAAACACAGATGCGTAACCTTGATGCAGCTACTTGCCATACAGTGTCCCATCCACATCCTCCCCTGCTTCCCTTCTGAAATGTCCACCTTCTCATTACTCAACCTTGAGCTGAGCTGGTTTCAGTGAAAATGTACTTTAATAAGTTGGAGTCGTTCACATAGAAGGAATGTTATTTTAATTATTCCTTCATCCTAACTGACACAAGGACCTTGTCACGGGTCATTTTCATTCAAGAATGTTAGTTCTTTCCTCTGACCCTCACAAACTGGGTAACAGCAGCTTTCGAGTTTGCTTTGTGGCTTAAAGACGTGAACAGTGTCTATAGTGCTCACGTGTCCTCTGGCTGTGGACCTGCTTCCTATCTCCCTTACACACTTTTGTGCAGGGAATCAGGGAATCAGTACGTTTCTTCTAGAAAAGGACAGAACGTCGTTTAACTGGAGCCACCTGAGGGAGATCACGGCATCTCTAGGAAAGTGATGAATGAATGCATCACCAGCTATCTACCCATGGCTTTTAAAAACAGCTACTCGAGCCCTGGCTCAGTTGGTCCAGTGTGTCATCCTTGGGTCTGGGAGGCAACTGATCAGAAGTTTCTCTCTCACATTGATGTTTCTCCCTCCCTCCCTCCCCTCCCCCTCCCTCTCTCCCTTTCCCTTCCTCTGTCTCTTAAAATTTTTTTAAATCAATGAAACATTTAAAAATTAATTAAATTTTTAAAAACAGCTATTTGATCTATATAACCTGTAGTTATTTTTAAATGGAGAGTTTTTTTGGGGGGGAGGGTACAATTTAATGGAGAGCTTTCGTTTGTAGACTATTTGGGTATTGAGATTTCTTGCTCAGAAACTATGTTTAGAACATTATTATTCTGTTTATTGGTCTAGAGGAAAGAATGTTTTGGAATCTGATGCCTTTTACCACCAGAGACTTCTCCATTCGGTCCCTGGCTGACCGCCTGGGGGACCTGGATTACCTTATCTACGTGTTCCCCGACCGGCCGAAAGATGAAGTGTACTCCAAATATTACACGCCAGTTCCATGCGAGCCTGCCACTGGTAACAGTGTTCGCATTCTGATTTGGTTTTGTTGTGTTTTGGTTGTATTTTAGTTATTTGTGTGTGTATGTGTGTGTGTGTGTGTGTGTGTGTGTCTGTCTGTCTTGCATGAAAACCTGCACAGTTAGCCTACAGTTGCTTGAGCATTATCCAGGGCAGATGTAAATCCTGGGCTGTATTCTGCAGTCATACAGAAAACACACCTGCCACTAACCCCAGATACCAAATTGAAGGGAACAAATTGCTTTGAACACAAGCTGAAGTCAAAATTAGGTAAAATTTTGTTTTTCAAATCAGAAAAGGTTTTGTTTTCTGAGCATAAAAGTTTTATGTATTTATTGTAAAATGTCCAGAAAAGGATAAAAAAAAAAAAGAAGAATCCATTCATCCTCCTACCAGTCATAAAATCTGTTCATCGGTTTCAGGTTTGGCTCTGATTGGCATAAAAATGATACCGCGGGTTTTATTTTCATTTATTTGATTCCAGGTAAGGTCAAACACCTTTTCATATCATGATAATGACAGTAATAAATTAGTACAAACACCAGTAACAGCTAGCATTTGTTGCACGCTCACTGAGTACCAGGTCCCTTCTAGGGCACATTTTTATGTAGTATCTCATTTAATCCTCAAAAGGGGCCTGTGAAGTAGTTACTATTACTGTTCCCCCTTTTACCTATGAGGAACTGAGGCACCGAGAAGTAAATAATTTGCCAAAGGCCATACAGCTAGGAAGAGGCCAAGCCAGGACTTGAGCTCAGAGAGTCTAGCCTCAGAGCCTGTATTTCTTCCCGTCTACATTATTGGCCATTAGTGTTTTTTCCCGTGAGGTGCGTTCATGTTCCTTGCTTATCTTTCTTTTGGAGTCCCTGTTTTTCTTAATGATGTGTAAATAGTTTTCTGTAGTAAATAAACCCTTGGTTATACATAGCAATTATTTTCCTCAGCGTGTCATTGTTCTTTTAACGTTTAAGTTTTATTTTGCTGACGTTTTATTTTACAAAGATTTGTACTTAGGCTACAGAGCCCAACCAGTCGACTTTTTTCCTACATGCCATGCCTTCCCACCCTAATGGGATGGCTGTATTTTTAAATTTTAAGGACATTTAAAAGTTTATATGATATTTTGAATTAAAATCTATCTCACTGCTTCTTTTTGTTAGCACCCCAATCTAGATTATTACATTCTATTTTTTACAGCATTTCTTTGTTTTTTTTATCTTTCCTGCCAATCTATAAAACTCTCTGTAGACTATAAAACACACAAAGCAGGAGATGTTATGACAAGGCGGCCCCCTGACATGGGAAGCCTAGAAGAAGCAGGTTCGGGTACCAAGCAGTTTGTGAACCATGTAGCATTTCACTGAGTGTTGCCTTCATTGTCTAATATAGTCAGGATTATGCTTATTCCCATACTCACATTCCCAGGAAACAGGACTTCATTCGCCGACTCCAGACTCGCACACTCCTACTTCACTGGATTTCCATAATCAGCCTTTTAAAAAGTCATAACTGTGGCTGGCCAGGTCGCTTTCAGGCTTCTCCCCTAGCCGGCCACATCCCAGTGGGATTCGGTGGTGAGTGGAAGAGAGACACACACCAGCATCCTTTTCAACAGCCACCAGGCATAAACTACACTCACCAGAATGAGTGACCATCAGACTGCCCCCCGGGGCACGGAGGAGCTTGCAGACACCTGAGTGACACTCCCTTTCCCACAGAGTAGATACTCAGAGTAAGTTCTGAGATCCTCAGGTCAAATCAGCTCCTCTCTAAGGCGTAGAGTGTTCTGTGGGATCCCTGACGATCGCATACCACCCTAGTGAGAACCTCCAGTGATAAGGAAACCAGTTCTTCCCGCGACATTCCCATTCCTTTTGGGGGCAGTTCTATGTATGACAACATTCTTCCACATCTGACGGAGACGTCGCCTTCTTCTGACCTCCTCCTGTTGGTCCTAATGTTGTGCCCTGGGACACAGAGCCAGGCCTGTCCCTCCGCCGCGTCTGCGACTATAAACTCTTTAAAGATATGTTTTCCTTTCACAGTTAGTTTGCAGTTAATGCTGGTTTTCGATTTGTATTGAAGTACATGCTTTCTGTGGTCTGAAAAATGGATATGCAATGCAAGCCAACTTGGACTATCTCTTCACTGGCAGTGTTTGGATTGAGGCTTCCCTCTGCCAGGCTGTCCTATCAGGTTGAAGTGTTAGGTGCTGGTGTCGGATCCTAAGATAAAATCAGGTGGTTGTGTCCTATCCTAAGGAAAGATGTGATTCATCAGGGAGATTTCACTTTTATTCCGTTGGAGAACTTTGGTTCTCATCACCGTTCCCTCCTCGGCAGCTAAAGCAGTGGACGGATACGTGAAGCCACAGATCAAGCAAGTGGTCCCTGAGTAAGTGTCTGGGGTCCAGCTCTGGTCTCCTGCTGCCTCTGTTCCCCCACCACCACCACCACACTGCGCCCCCCCGCTCCCCCACCCCCGCTGTTCTCACCCCTCTCCACCACCCCCTCCCGTCCAAGGGCCCAGCATTCCATTCTCCCTAAAACCTGGCTCAGCCCTGGGGAGGGACCCGGGCTTGGTCACCATGGGCCAGTGCCCAGGGCCCCCTCCTGCACTTCGTCCTTCTGCACCTGAGAGAGACAGAAAGATGCCCCTGACCCCGTCCCCTGTCAGCGCTGCCCTGAGGCCGCTGAGGCTCTGCTCTGCTTCCTCCTCCAGGTTTGTGACGTCTGCAGACTCTGCTGGGGGCAGTGCCACCTACATGGACCAGGCCCCCTCCCCGGCTGTGGGTCCCCAGGCTCATTACAACATGTACCCACAGAAGTAGGTGGTGTTCCTACAGGGCTTCACGGGGAGCTGGGCCTGGGCCTGGGCCTGGGCACGGGCACTTGGCCTTGGGCTGCTGACCGGGCGGGGTGCAGGGCCTGGGATGGTCTCTGCTCCTCGTCATTGGTCTCTGACAAGCGCTCCCTCCCCCTTCATCTCTTCTCTTTCCCTCCCAAGCCCTGACCCCGTCCTTGACACTGACGGGGACTTCGATCTGGACGACACGATGGACGTGGCGCGCCGCGTGGAAGAACTCTTGGGCCGACCTATGGACACTCAGTGGATCCCTCATGCGCAGTCGTGACCTCCATCGCCGCCGTCAGCGTCTTGGTCCTCGTGAGAGGAGTTCTTCTTGTGGATGTTTTAATTCCATGAATCGCTTCTCCTTGGAAACAATACTCATAATGTGAAGTGTTAATGTTAGTTGTGACTTTAGTGTTTCTGTGCATGGTGGCCCCAGTGCAGGGAGCGTGTGTGTGTGTGTGTGTGTGTGTGTGTGTGTGTGTCCGTGTGGTGTCCCTCCCCCTTGCTGTCCAGACAAAGGCCGTGATGGTTTGAACCTTGTGCACAAAGGCAGTTGGCTCCACGAGCTCTGGCACATGGCCGTGTGTCTGGAGGGTGCCTGGACTTTGACGTGTGGCTGTTCAAGTAAGAGAAAGACACAGGGAGGAGAAAGCACCTCCTCTCTGATGAGTCTTTGTCACTGTGTTTGCCAGGCAATTGTGCTATAACCATGATTGTCTCTGCTTTTCTTCTGCAATGTGGAAACCGCCTCCTGACAAAGAATGCCAGTCCTCCCCCCGCCCCCCACCCCCTTTTCCCGGGTAGGGCTGGGGAAAGGGGCAACTTAGGAGGATTGTTGGGGCAAGGGGAGCCAGAGGTCTTCGGATGGGTAGTGGCTTTTGTAAATAACACGTAACCCGTCTTCGTGTTTTCTCCGTCCCTCCTGCCCTCCCTGGCTGTGCCCCTCTCTCCTCCTCTCGCTCAGTTCCTCTGTGTGCACACACGTGCAGATGAGCTAGAGGGCAGGAGAGAGGGTCACGCCACCGAAGCTTACAGTGTTGGTGTCCTTTGTGTCGCGGCCAGAGTGGAATGCCCAGCCCTGACCCGCAGGCGCCGAGAACGTCGCCTCGTCGCCCAGGGAAGCTGCCATCCGTCCTTCCTCCGCGCTGGAAGGCTGACCGATGCCAGCTCTTCGCAAATGTCGGACGGTGTTTTTGCTTCTAATTTGGGACTTCTTGTTTTCCCCTTCCCACCTCATCTGACATTGAAGTTCTCTCTTCCTGTGTCAGGTCCTGTGCCATTCCTACCCAGGTCACCTCATTTCCCTTCACTGATCGTGCGCGATGTCTCGGGGAGTGGGTGGCAGGAGTGCGGTCCGAACCCAGGGCCGGCATGTCCAGCAGGTGGTGTTGCCCACCTGGTGCAGGGTGCTGGGTGTCAGGCATTGGGAGTTGGGGAAATGCAGTCGGCAGGTTTGCGGGAAGTTTGGTAAGCTGCAGAAACAAAAAGCCTCAAGCATAATTCCGTCCGTAGTTTCTTCCGCGGCTCCACGCCAGAAGGAAGGAATGGGCTGCGGCAGGCAGGTGGGAAGAGAGGGGAGCAGGTATAGTTTTCAGGTTAGGCCTACAAGGTCGCCCCTGGCACCCTCTCCGAAAGGATATGACGAGGCCCAAGAAGTAATGGCCCTAAAAACCGTATTTTTATATGTGTGAGTAAATAAACATATTTTTTTTACAAAAACTAACTTCTGAACTTACCAGTGTTTTGATGTTAAAGGAACCTATTTCTCTGTAGTAAATTATTTATTGGAAAATGACTTTTTAAAAGCTGCTGTTTGCGCTGGCTTGGTTTCATACACTGATTTATTTTTCTATGCCAGGCAGTAGACTCTCTCTGCCTCTGAGGCGCAGGCCGACCCCTCCGTGGATACCAGCGTTGATGTAGAATGCTGCTGAGCCCCTTGCGTACCTCTCAGGATTTAATTAAAATCCCCCCTGTGAGGACGGGAGTGTTGGGGAGAGGTGTAAGGAAGCCTGACCCTGTCTCGAAGAGCCCTCACCTGCCTGTCACTCAGGCTTCACCAACGCCTGCCTCAAGAGTGACGCCCTCATTGTCCCAGCGGGGGACGCGGGCGGGGGGGGGGGGGGGGGGGGTATTACCGACCCGCTGGGAAGGGGGCCCAGCCCTGGGGCATGCTGAGGTCTAGCGCTCACCTCACAGCTGGCAGTAGGGTTGAGGGGACGGGGCCCAGTGTGGGGCTCCTTCCCGAGCTTGTACAGTCGCTGAGCTGTCCTCAGTTTTCCCGAGAACTGTGCCTGTCGATGGGAGAGATTTTCGACTGAAAGGTGCGCTCGCTATCTGCACTGTACTTTCTCTCTTCTCCCCGTTCCTGCAACCAGAGGAGGCCGCGGGAAGCCGGACCGCCGCCGCCTCTCGCTCCCTCCCAGGCACACAGCGTCATCAGCGTCCCAGCGCCACGTGTGCGGCCTGCAGGGTTTTGTGGGGGTGGCGGGGAGACAAAGTGAATATAACTTAACGTGGAAGTATACTTTTTATAACTTTTCTTTTTAAAACTTTGTGAAATTATTTCAGATACATATTTTAGTGTTGAGGCCGAATAGCATTAGCCAGCAAAAAAAAATAAAAAAGTATTGTGTACAATTCTACTTGGGCCAATCACAAAATAATGTATTTTATGTTACAATAAAGCCTTCCTCTGAAGGGGCAATATTGAGTCCTGTTCTATTTTTCCAATCAGATGGCGAGGGAGGGGGGTCAGGAAGGGGAACGCTGGCGATCATCAGTGAGGCTCTGAAAGGAGAACTGTTTGGAAGTTGGCTTCTCCGAGAGCAGTCACTGGGTTTGATGGCAGATGGGGCATTTATTTTTATTTCATTTTTTTCTTTAATCCTCACCTGAGGGTATTTTTCCATTGATTTTAGAGAGAGTAGAAGAGAGAGGGAAAGACATCGATTAGTTGCCGCCTGCACACACTCTGACCAGGGCCCCTGACTGGGGAGGAGCCTGCAACAGAGGTACCTGCCCTTGACCGGAATCGAACCTGGGACCCTTCGATCTGCAGGCTGACGCTCTATCCACGGAGCCAAACTGGCCAGAGCAGATGGGGGCATTTCTTACCTCCCTGCTCACATGATGTTTTGACACTTACACCTGTGTCCGCTGAAAGGGCTGTTCTTGCACAGAGAAGGAGGCCCCTGTCGTTGTGTAGTGCTTTGGGATATTCAGCTCTTAACAAGCAGGTGCCACTTGGCTAAGAGCCACCAGTGTTCCCGAAGGCTGTGTTTCAAGCTCTCTTCCCTTCTGTGGGGTGGCGATCCATCATCCGGATGCGGCCGGAGACAGCTGCTGTGTGTAAGTTCTCTTAATAAACTCCCCGTTTCGTTCTTTGTCATCCTCTCCTTTCGGTCTCAGCCCTGTCCTCCTTGGGAAGTCAGCTGCGGTACACCCCAGGGAATTTTCCAACACAAAGGACACTCTCAAGAAAATAAAAAGACAACCCACAGGAGAAAATAAAAGACATTTCTGCAAAGAAGATACACACATGGCCACTATGCTCAACATCATTAGTCATCAGGAAAATTAAAATAGACTCAAGTCACTCCATACCCCACTAGAATGGCTAGATCAAAAGGCCAGGTAATAAATTAGCAAAGATGTAGAGAAATCGGAAAACTCACGTACTGCTGGTGGGGATGTGAAAGGATGCAGGCACTTTGGAAGCCAGTTGAGCCATTCCTTAGACAGTTAAAAAAGAGTTACTATACAACCCAGCTATTCTTGACACAAGGAAAATTACATGTCCACAGAAAAACATGTATATAAATGTTCATTCTGCATAATAGTCAAAGAGCGGAAATGAGCCAAATGTCTATCATTGATGAATGGGTAAACCGGTGTGATGGTGTTTACACAGCACATTTGGGTGGTGTTACCTCCAATGGAATATGATTTGTCAATAAAAAGAACTAGTGGCGCATAGTAACCCAGAGAAGAACCTTGTAAACATTATGCTAAGTGAAGGAAGCCAGATGCAAAAGACCATGTGTTGATTCCATTTATGTGAAATGTCCAGAATAATGGCGAATCTATACAGAAAGTAGGTTTGTGTTTGCTTAGGGCTGTTGGGGCGGGGGGGGGGGGGGGTGCGAGCTGGGAAGGGATTGAGGGGTATAGCTAAAGGGTACAGGGTTACTCTTGAGGTTACGAAAATAGTATAAAATTGACTATTGGTGTCACGTATATGTGAATATAGTGAAAACCATTGAATTGTACACGTTAAATGGGTGATTTGTGTGAGTTATATATAATAACGCTGTTGTGTTTTAAAAAGCAAGCACAATATCTCAGCAAGAGATAAAGGAGTGAAAGCGAGGGTGGGGGTGGGGGGTAGACTGAGAGCAGACCTGTGCAAAGGAGCTCAGCTGTGAAACGCAGGGAGAGATGCTGTGAGACATAGAGCCAGGCAAGGGGCCGAAGGAGGGGTGTTAGTGTCTGAGAGCCTGGGGCCAGAGCGCAGGCGGAGGGGGAGAGGGATTGACCATGGGCCGCAGAGGAGCCTCACACAACTTCCCACCTCCACAGCAGGGGAGTCCGAGCCTGAGGTCGCCGGGTGCCTTGCTCCAAGTTGCGAACTACCCTGTGTCATATGGAAGTTTGTGTTTCCGGGGATAAAGCCAGTAAGCTAACACAGGTCGTGACCCCACATCGGAGGAAGTACCTGTGACCAGTGGCGCCGTCAGCTTCTCTGGCTTGAGGACTAGTTACCACCTACCTTGAGAACACTGTGTGATGGGCTCGCTCTGCTTGGCTGTAAACGGGGGTGCGATGCTTTTCTGTCTTTGCAATTCCTTAGCGGGTGGCCTGGGATGCGCACCACCTTCTAACTTAATGTTTCTCCAATAACAAAAGTGTCTTTCTTTCGCTACTGTCTTGGTGGGGAGGCTTTCTGGGTTGGGAGAAAACGTTGGTTTTTACCAGTTGTCAAGCTTGAACTGCCCCACCCCCAGCCGACGCTGCTTCCTGGCGCTCTTTCCCACACAGTCAACCTTCTCTTCCTTCACCTGCACAGATTTGAGGACCATCCTGTTCTAGCCCTCGCTTCCCATGTCTGCCAGCCTGGGCCAGCACCCAGCATGCCCCCCCTTAGGCAACCTGCTCCTTTAAGAGCACCCCCACCCCCCCATCCCAGCTCCTCCCTCAGGCCCAGTAACCGGATTTCCCTGTTTGTGAGGCCCAGCCTTCAAAGCCAGGGCCCCTTCTTACTCAGCTGTAGGCTGAGCCGGGGGTGCCCGAGGGGGCCTGGATGCTGGGAGTAGGCACAAGTGGGCTGTGACAGGTACATGTGGGACATGAACCACTGCCCAGGGCTCGGGAGGGACACGGAGCTGGGACAGGGTGGGTCCTGGGAGGAAGCAGAGCCGCTGGGCAAGACCTGTCATTCGTCAAGCAGCCGCTGGGCGCTGGGCACCGTGCCAAGCCCTTTCTGCACCTTCTGAGGCGGGGATTATACTCCCATTTGACAAGCAGGGGGACGGAGCTCAGAGCAGCCACCTGAACTACCTGGGGCCACACAGGCAGCCAGTGGCAGAGCCAGGATCCAACCTCAGGTCAGTGCGACGCTAAAGCCTGATGCTCTCCGCCTCACTGCCCGACGGGGGTCCTGGCTTCTCCCTACACTTGCTCTGTCCTGGGTTCTCCTGCGTGAGGTAGAATGGGGGTACGGAACGGGGGATCCCCTGCAGCTGCAGGACCAGCACTCCGGGCCCTTCCTCCTCCAGGAGCTGCCTGGAGATGCTGCTGCTCCTGCTGCTGGTATTCCTGCTGCTGCTGCTGCTGCCACTGGCCGTGCTCTGGCGGCAGCAGGCCCAGGGTCCCGGGCCGTCCTGGCTGGCCAGCCTGCAGCACCGCGTGGCGTGCGGGGCCCTGTGCTGGGCAGCCGCCTGGCAGCAGTGGAGGCTGGAGCAGAGCACCCTGCACGCGGGCCAGCGCCAGCAGCAGGCCCTGAGGTGGTGTCTGAAGGGAGCCCAGGGTCCCCACTCTCCTCTCCGGGGGAGCACAGGTGTGTTTTCCAGGGTCTGGGGAGGTGGCCCCAAGAGAAAGGAACCCCACAGGACAATCAGATTCCAGAACCTGAAGACCTCCCGCCCCCCTCCCGCTCCCAACACGGAGAGGCTGAGCCAGAGACCCTCCCCAGGCTCAGCATTGTCCCAGAGGACTTTTCCCACCCTGGACCCGGATAGCCCCGCCCCCATCCAGGCCTGGCCCAAGTCCCTTCTTCAAAGGTCTCACCAGCCTTGTCTGAAACTCCTGGGAAACTGTGTGGCTTCAAGAGGAGTTTATGATGTCTTTGGGGCTACAGATATGACCACCTTCCGGAATCATCTCCCTTTGACCAAGGCCAGCCAGGCCCCGGAAGAAGAAAGTGGGGAGCAGCTCCTGCCCCCAACCTCAAAACAGCAGCACGGGGAGGCCTCTCTGCAGGTAAACCCAGAAGAGCCCAGCCTCACCATAGACCCCAGCTTGTAGCCACACCCTCCCACCAGGGTGGGCAAAGAATCCCCAAATTGGGGGCTCAGGGTCGGGCTCAGGCAACACCCTCTCTTGTTTCCCTCCAGGCCACCTTGCTGGGTCTGGCAGCCCTAAACCAGGCCTACCCAGCAGCGCTGGCCCCCGGGAGCACAGCCTGTGTGACCCCTGCCTCCCCCTGGCCCCACCCTCTCCCCTGGCCCTGGCACGCCCTCAGCCAGGGTAGCCCCCCTGGAGTCAAGGACCCCAGGGCCCTGCTGCTGGAGGCACTGAGGTCCCCAGGGCTGCGGGCACTGGAAGCCAGGACAGCCGTCGAACTCCTGGACGTTTTCTCGGGCCTGGAGGCCGATGGCGAAGAGCTGGCTGAGGCAATAGCTGCTGGGAACCCAGGAGCGCCTCTCCCGACGCGGGCAGCTGAGCTGCGGGAGGCCCTCGAGCAGGGACCCCGAGGACTGGCCCTGCGGCTCTGGCCAAAGCTGCAGGTGGTGGTGACTCTGGACGCCGGAGGCCAGGGCGAGGCTGTGGCTGCCCTGGAGGCCTTGTGGTGCCAAGGGCTAGCCTTCTTCTCACCTGCTTATGCTGCCTCTGGAGGTCAGCAAGACTCAAGGGTGGGAGCTGGGGTCAGGGGGCAGAGGGCACACTGCTGGCTGCCATATAGTGAGCCCTACTCATCTCATGTAATCCTCCCAACCCCTTGTGACTTCCAGCAGCTCCATTTTACACATGGAGAAGCTGAGGCTCATAGAGAGGTTGCACAAACTCACACAGCCCCAGCATTTACCCCCAGGCCTGCCACACCCAGAACCACTGCCTCTTCCCAATTAGGGCCCCAGAAGCAGGGTGCTGAGCCTGGGGAAGCCACAAAGGAGGGGGTGGGAGGGCAGCAGGAGAATCAGATGCTCAGAGGGTTGAGGCCCAGGGGTGAGAGCCTAGCAGAAAGCAATGGCACCACCAGAAGAGGCTGCTTGCTTCCCGCAGGGGCGGTGGGCCTGAACCTGTGGCCAGAGCAGCCCGCTGGGCTCTACCTCCTCCCCCCTGGTGCTCCCTTGATTGAGCTGCTCCCAGTCCAGGAGGGAGGCCAGGAAGAGGCTGCCACCACTATCCTGTTGGCCGAGGCCCAGAAAGGCCAGGAATACGAGCTGGTGTTAACTGACCAGGCCAGCCTTACCAGGTGATCATCTGCCCACCCCCTGGTGCCTCAAGCCCTCTGGGACCTGTTGCGGACCAGTAGCATGAGCTGACGGGTCCTTGGGCCTGACCTCCCCTCACTCCCCCCTGTCAGATGCCGCCTGGGTGACGTGGTTCGGGTAGTTGGTGCCTACAATCAGTGCCCAGTCGTCAGGTTCATCTGCAGGTGGGTGACGTCCCAGGGAGCTGAGGGGCCGTCCTTAAACCCTGGGCTCCTCTGCCTCCCGCTCCTTCCTCCCCAGGCTGGGCCAGTCCCTGAGTGTTCGAGGAGAAGACATTGGCGAGGACATGTTCTCTGAGGCCCTGGGCCGGGCGGTGGGGCAGTGGCCAGGGGCCAAGCTGTTGGACCATGTCTGTGTGGAGAGCAGCATTCTGGGTAAGCTTCTCCATTGGCCCCTGCCCCCCATTCTTGGGTTAACTCCCCCACAATCCATGCCCCCCCTGCTGAGAGCTCTCTAGGAAGGAGGTCAGACCCAGCCTCCTTTGTGGCTCCTAAAAAGAGTCCTTCCCCAGGTCTCACTCCCATCCCTCCTGCTGCAGTCTCTCCCTGTTACTTTCCTGACTTGTTTCATATTTAGGACTAGGCCCTGGGCTCCTCTTCCTTTACCCTCCCTCCACACCAAGAAACCCGTTTCCCCACGAACCTCAGAGCAGAGGAGAGCGAGGTGGGGCAGTGGGCATGGGTTTTGGAGGCTGCCCCATTCACAGGAGTGCGTGTGCGTGGGTTTTGCCTGCAGATTCCTCCGGGGGCTCTGCCCCCCACTATGAGGTGTTTGTGGCACTGAGGGGGCTGAGGAACCTGTCGGAGGAAAATCGAGACAAGGTAAATGAGACAGGGACAGGGTCCGACTGCATGTCCCCTTCACTCTGCACCCCCCCCCCCCCCCGCCCCGCCCAGGTGCAGTGGGCACAGCCCAGTGAAGGGGAGGTGGGGGCAGGGAGGAGAACTTTCCCGAGGCCCTAAGAAGGGAGGGGTGAGTCCCAGATACACATGTACACGTGAAACTCCTACCCACACACACACGCTAGGCACAGGCAAGCGCACCCCATGGCCACGCACCACATGGCCACGCACCAGCCTCACTCAGCCGTCTGTCCTCAGCTGGACCGCTGCCTCCAGGAAGCCTCTCCCTGCTACAAGGCCCTGCGCTTCCGCGGCAGCGTGGGCCCTGCCAGAGTCCACCTGGTGGGGCCGGGGGCCTTCAGAGCACTCCGGGAGGCCCTCGCTGCCTCCCCCGCAGCCCCCTTCCCTCCGGCGATGCCCCGGGTCCTCAGGCACAGGCACCTGGCCCAGCTCCTGCAGAGGAGGGTGGTGTCCTGAGCGGAGGCTGCCCACGGGCCCCGCCGCCCCACAAGCTGCCTCTCTCTTTCCTCTGGAGCCTCTCTGGATGGATGGGGAGCCCTGGGCCAGGGTCTGTGACTCTGTGTCACCTCTCAGTCGCTCATCTGAGCTGCTGGGCCTTCGGGAGGTCCAACCTCGGCAGCCAGCTCTGAGGAGGTGACCTCGGGGGTGTAGCTGACCCCACAGGGCAGGGCCCTGCCTGGAGCCCCGTGGACCCCCCTCTGGAGGACCCTGCTGGAGAGTTCCCATACACGCTGGTGCTCGTGTGTCTCCCAGCCCAGCGCACTGTGCAGGCTGCAAGTGTTGGGAGTTGGTGTTCCCGGGAGCACCCCTCAGTCAGCAAGGAACAGGAGTTGTGAATACCAGCCTCAGCTTCATTGTCCCTCAGAGGGACTATTCTGAAGTGTGTATGCACCAGCTGCCCGCAGTGGCAGTCCTCTCATGAACACGGTTCTTAAGGCATCCCTCCCGTCTCCACGCCCTGATGTGTTTTCTAGGATCACTTCCCAAATAAACCTCTTGCACCCAGATTCTTGGCTCAGGGTCTACGTTTGGGGAAACTGTAGTGGTCCCTTTGGCTCTGATCCTGCCGAAGCCTGTCCCCTCCCTTCAGCTCTGATCACAGGGCTTCCCCCTCTCTCCACGGGGGAGGCCCCAAGTGTGTGCATGCAGGAGACCTCGGGGACTCCTGCCATGGCCTAGGTCCGTGGTCGGCAAACTGCGGCTCGTGAGCCACATGCGGCTCTTTGGCCCCTTGAGTGTGGCTCTTCCTAAGCCTTAGGAGTACCCTAATTAAGTTAATAACAATGTACCTACCTATATAGTTTAAGTTTAAAAAATTTGGCTCTCAAAAGAAATTTCAATCGTTGTACTGTTGATATTTGGCTCTGTTGACTAATGAGTTTGCCGACCACTGGCTAGGTCAACCCAGAAGACTCAGAGCCCCTCCTCCTCCCTCTCCCCATCCCAAGCTTAACCTAAATGTGAAGGGGCTACTCCCCAACTTCCCTGGCCCTGGCTCAGCACAGGTCCCTTTCCTGGCCCCACACCCAGAAATCACTTCCATAGGCAGTGGCTCTACTGCAAATCATCACAGCAGGAAGCAGCCGCAGAGGTTATGTGGGCTAACTGCCTGTCTTACCGGGGCACGGAGGCTTCCTGAGGTTGTGAGACCTGCTCCGGGCCCAGCGGCTCCTCCTCAGTAACGCAGCACCTGTGTGTAAGTCTCTGCTTCTGTCCCCGAATGACTTCTCAATCCCATGCCCTATCTCCAGGCCCCTATGCCCACCCACCCAGTCCCTGTATCAGCCCATGACTCCTTCCCACTGAAATCCCCATGGCTCCCCGTGCCCCCAGGGTCAAGACTAATCAGCTTAGCCTCAAAGGCCCTTTGACCCATCCCCGTTCTTGCTTGCCTGTCCAGCCACCTCTCTCCTCTAAGGAAAGCCACACCCCACTATCCCACATGAGTTAGGCACGGTCACCACCAGGTCTTTGGTTCAGTTGTCCCTTCAGCAGAATGCCTTCTCCCCTGACCTTGCCTGGTAGAAATCCCCTTTTCACAAAAGGCCTTTTCAGAGTCCTTCCTCCCACTGAGCTACCATTATATGCCGGGTCACACTCCCACCTGGACTTCGGAGCGCCTTGGAAACTGGGCATGTCCTATGCATATGTCACTCCAGAGCCCCGTGCAGGGCCTGACACAGACCAGCTGCTCAACAGACAGTGCCCTGAACAAGAGGAACTCCGGCATGGGGGCTCACTCGCTGCTGATGGTGGGATGGGACCCCGTCTCTCCCCTCCAGGAAGGAAGCTGGGGAGGTCAAAGGGTAACGCCAGGCACTTTTTTCCTCACTGCCCCGGTTTGGTTTTCAAGGTTTTCCATCTTGGAGGGTAGTGGAAGGGGCAGAGGGAACGGACCTGGGGGAGGGAGAGCCAGCTCATAAGCCGTTTTTCCATGGAGGAAGGAGGCCCTGAGCCTGACAGACCCCAGGGGCAGAGGGGAGGAGCACACACACACATATACCCCGTGGAGAATGGGTTTCCTGTCTGCCTCCTCTCCTGCCCTAATTAGCAGCTGCCCCTCCCCACATTGTCGCAGACCAGCGCCTGGCCAAGGCCTCTTTTGTGCTCCCAGATTCCTGGGTGCAAGGTGGCCTCATTAGTGCCCGGAGACAGCCCCATCTCCAAGGAGCAGGCAGACAGAGAAGGGGGGAACCGGGGGCGCAGTGATCCAACCCCAGCCTCTGAGTGTCCTGGCGGCCATTCCTTGGGCCCAGCCTGGAGACGGCCTCCCTGTCCGAGGCTAATCTTAGATTTGCCTTTGTCTAGCCCCAGAGTGGACGCAAGTGCCCCCCCACCTCAGAGCATTATAAACCCCAGGCCCCTGCTAGCCAGTCACAGTCGGCGGCCTTCCAGTTCCTAGCTGTTTGGACCACTGGAGACGGCGCCTTTCCCTGCTGCTCCACTCTGAGCTCCGGACACCATGAGCCCTCCCTCTACAAAGGTAAAGACCCAGGGATGGAGGGGACGCACATTCCAGGGGGCAGTGAGAGCGCTTGCTCCGGGGCTGGGAGGAAGGCTGAGTCCTCCCTCTTGTTCTCCTGTGTGGGCTCTGGGGCAGGCAGGGCCCTGGGTGGACGCTTGGCTGAGGGCCTGTCTTGGTTAAGGCTCAGTAGCGCCTGCTCTCCTAAGAGCTCATGTGTATTGCGCACGTACTATTCATCAGGTGCTGCTTGCACCTGTCATCGCGTTTCCTCCTCCCAGCAGCCCTGCCCGGTGGGGAGTATTTAATACCCAGTTCACAGGTGAGGAGGCTGTGACCCCTAAGAGGGTAGGAAACGGGGCCGAAGCCCAGTTCAGTGCCCCCTGCAAAGGAGCAGACAAACAAGACAACGATTTGGACCCTGCTAGTCCTGGATTTGCACGGGTTTGCCTCTGTGGGTAGGGGGAGTGGGGCTAAATAGGGCGTTTTCGAGTGCACAAACTTCTGGTGCAGACAGACTCTCACACCTGTTTTCAGGCGGAGTGGTAAGCACTCTAATGGGGTAACGACGAATGAATTAAGGATCCTTAGAGGAGACAGGGATCCATTCTGCCCAGAGGGTCTCCAATGACCCCCTTCTGAAGGGGCAGCCAGGAAGGGGCGCCAGCCAAGAGGGGGCGCGCGGCGATCTGGGCAGGGCCTGGGTGTAGGAGCTGGAGGCGGGCGCGGCGTTCAGACCCCCAGCGCCCGGTCTCCTCCTCCCTAGGTCCCCTGGACCGCCGTGACGCTGCTGCTGCTGCTGCTGCTGCCGCCCGCGCTGCTGTCGCCCGGCGCGGCCGCGCAGCCCCTGCCCGACTGCTGCCGCCAGAAGACGTGCTCCTGCCGCCTCTACGAGCTGCTGCACGGCGCGGGCAACCACGCGGCCGGCATCCTCACGCTGGGAAAGCGGCGGCCCGGCCCAGGCCTGCAGGGCCGACTGCAGCGCCTCCTGCAGGCCAACGGCAACCACGCGGCCGGCATCCTGACCATGGGCCGCCGCGCAGGCGCAGAGCCAGCGCCACGCCCTTGTCCGGGGCGTCGTTGTCCCGCTGCGGCCGCCGCCTCTGCTGCTCCCGGGGCACGGTCCGGGGTCTGAGCCCGTGCTCAGACTACGTCTTGGCACTGGCCTCTCCCCTCTGCCCGCCCGCTATCAGCCCCCAGAAAAATGTGCAATAAAGAGGCGTCTCCGTTAACGTGGCCGGTCTGGGTTCCTGTGTGGTAGAGTCCTGCCCTCCAGGGGGCGTCAGAGTCTTGCGAACTGGAAAGAGCCCGAGGGCTTGGAAGCCGGGGTTCCCGGACACCTCAGCTTGGGCGGGCGTCCTTGGACCTGAACACTTGTGGGTGGGGAGCTCCCCAGAACAAGGCGCCGTGCAAGGCCGTGGGTGCGGAAAGAGTCGCAGATGTGCGTGCTTCGAGGGGAGGATGCAAGGAACACGCGGCTCCATGTAAATCATCCAGAGGGGCTGCAGCGCGGGGTGGCGGGTGTGGGGAGAGGTGAGGCACTGGAGGGGAGGCGGTTAGGTCGTGCAGCCCAGATTGTGACGCCCTCGCGAGTCACTTTATTCTGTAGGTAGCTGGGAGTCGCGAGTTCTGATGGGAGGGGGGGGGGAGCAAGATTTTCCTGCCACTTTATTGGAACACACCTGTCATAGATTGAATTGTGCCCCCTCCCCAAATTCATGTTGAAGTTATAATCCTCAGCACTTCAGAATGAGATCTTATTTGGAGGATCGTTGCAGATACAGTGGGGCCTTGACTTACCAGTGTCCCGACTAACGAGTTTTTTGAGATACCAGCTGTCTCTCGGCAGATTTTTTGCATTGAGTTGATAGAGTAATTTGAGTTAACGAGCTCCTTAGCGAGTTCCTTAACAAGCTCAGGCTCGGTCTCGGAACGAATTAAGCTCGTAAGTCAAGGCCCCGCTGTATTAGTTAAGATGAGGTTCTGTTGGAGTGGAATGGGTCTCCACTCCAATATGATTAGGGTCCTTCTAAAAGGGGGGGAGGGGAGTTGGACACAGAAACGTACACAGAAAGAGCCCATGTGAACATGAAGGCAGAGGTGGGTGGTGCATCTACAAGCCAGAGATTGCCAGCAACCCCTCAGAAGCTCACAGCTTTCAAAAGGAACCAGTCCTGTCGTCATCTTGAGCTTGGACTTCTAGCCTCCAAAATTGTGAGAACATAAATTTCTGTTGTGTAAGTACCCCGTTGGCGGTACTTTGTGACAGGAGTCCTAGGGAACTGATATAACACCCAGAAGTAGAGACACAAAAAGAAGTGGCGGCGCTTTTAAGCAATCTGACACTGGGTTCAGGCTCTGGGAGGAAGGGGTTGGGGATGCAACTGGCTTGCCCTCTCCAGAGACCATCTTTCCATCTTCACTGGCTTTCGCTGGGAAGCAGTCACCTTAAGCCTCAGTCATTTTCTGCTTCCGGGCTGAAAAAGTCCGGCGTCTGGTCTCCCCCGGGTCCTTCTTGCTGCTGTACTGGTTAAGTCTTGGAAAAGATGGAGTTCAAAGCCCCCCAGCTCACCTTTGCAGATTTGCAAACCGACCCTGTCCAACTTGAAGCTATCTTTCTCTGCCCCATACTGGCTTCCAGCCTCTCCTGCGCTTGAGTGGCAGCAGAGAGGAGGGTTAAGTCAGGACGATGGGAAAAGGGAGAATAGGGAGAAAAGTGCTCTCCAACACACTTATTTTGTGCCAACGTGTGCATTATGCCATTGCCTTCTCACAACCGCAGGAGGTAAAAATGATTAGCTCCATTTTACAGATAAGCAAAGTGAGGTTCAGAGAGGCCACGTCACACATTCAGTAAATGGCAGAGCCAGGACTCTACCCGATGGACCCCAAAGCTCTTTTCATCCATCCTGCCGGGCCGAGAGGCGGAATTTGCCAGCGTGCCCTGCGCGCACCGAGGCACACACAGCCCCTTTAACCCCTGCTGTCTCCTGGCGTAGCGCAGGGACCTGCGAGCGCTGCAAAGCAGCCCGGCTCCAGCAGGCAGCACTGCGAGCCAGATGCCGTTCCCGGCTGGGGCGGCGCCTGGGGAAACCCGTGGGGCGGAGCCGCGAGGCGCGCCAGGGCTCCACGCGCGCGGGCGTGGCCACCGGGAGGAGGCGTGTCTGACACTCCGGCTCCGAGCCGCCTCTTCGAGCCTCTGCTCCCTGGAGGCGTGTCTCGAATTCTCTCCGAGAGAGACTCGCGTGGGCCGCTCCCCTCCCGGAGGGCCGCGGGGAGAGGTGCGGGTGTCACTGGTGGCCCCTCCCCGTGCGGGGCCACGTGGCGGACGCGGCCGAGCCCGGGGGAAAGAACCTGGCCCGTGGGGAAAAGAGCCGGCTCGGCGGCGCCCCGCCGAGCCGAAAGCCGAGGGGTTTGGAGCAGAGGCGGCGGCGGTGAGAGGGAGGGTAGGAGGCAGGCCAGCGCATGGGGTGCCCCGGCCCCGCCGGCAGCGCGCCCCCTGGGGCCCGGCCGAGCTGACCGCCCTCGGCGCCGCGCCTCCAACTCGCGCCCCGAGCCATGCCGGTCATGAAGGGGTTGCTGGCCCCGCAAAACACCTTCCTGGACACTATCGCCACCCGCTTCGACGGCACGCGTGAGTGGGGCCGAGGCTGGGGATGGGGGCTCCTGCTGGGGGCCAAGACTCCGTGGGGGCCGGCTTGGTCTTCTAGACCCGAGGCGGGAAGGGGGAGTGGGGTGGAGGGTCTAGGTCGGAGCTCCCGAAGCCGCGGAAAAGGAACAGCAGAGTGCCCCGCGAGGGGAGGCAGGGAGAGGGCCAAGAGCGCGGGGAGCCAAGGTAAGGGGTGTGACTGCAAGCACGAAAGGCTCTTCGTGTGCAAAACGGAGGCGAGGCCTTGAGAGCGGCCCGTTCCCGGGCAGGGCTCTGCTGGCTGGGGGCGCGGTTGGCGGTATCCGAGACGCGGAGGTCGGAAAGCGGCCAGGCGCTCGGGAGTCGCACCCAGACATTCCAGCATCCCCTTCCCCCCGGAATAAGAGAGGGAGGGAGAGCAGATCAGACTTCGGCAGGACCTAGTTTTTAGATTAAGGTCACGCACCCCAAAATCGTGGCGCGTCTGTGTTCGAGGGAGGTGAGGCAGGAGGAGGGGGGTGGTCCGGGTGAGGAAGGGAACTCCCCGCTCGCCCACCCCAGCTCGGTTCCCAGGTTCAGGACCTTGGACAGCCACACTCCTCCTTCCCCGCCCCTTCTCCCGCCTTTCCCTTTTCCTACTTTGCAACCTAGAGATCTCTGCCTGCCCCTCTGGGCACCTTTGCTACGTCTGGAAGATATGGGGAGCGGTACCCAAGGGCGGAAACTGATCTGGGGCGGGGGAGTGGGGCTCCCCGCTTCCCCACTCTTCCTCCACACACGCCTCCCCTGTTTCCATAGCGCCCATCACCGGAGCAACGAGCTCTGGGATGGAAGGAGGCTGCTGCCCAGGGCCCAGCACCCTCAGTGTCCCCATCAGCCACCCCATGCCCAGGCACACACCCTTCGTAGCGCCCCGGGACTGGTTGTGTCTCAGGCCCCTTCCCTCGCTGGGACTCTGTCCCTGGATGGCCCATAGAGCCCCTCTGTGGCCTCCTATCCATTGGAACTGGAGGGAGCCAGCTCAGGTCCTGCAGCTGGGGTTGCTGGAGCCCCAACTTCATTGCCCAATCCTGTCAGACTTTGACACTGGGGACAGGCCCGGAATTAGATAAAGGGGTGCTAAAAAGAGGACCTTTCTTGGAAGTCAGGACGCTAGTCGTGACTCTCCCTCCTCCCACGAAGGAGATTTGTGAGTGTCGGTAATCTCTGCCTTCTAGTTTCCCGTCAATAAAATGGGTGTCATAGCACCAGAATCCCTGTCCTCTCCCCTCTCCAATGGGATGACAGGGTAGTGGCTAGGGCTGTGCTTTGACCACTGTGCACATGTGGAGGAGTGGACACTGTGGCACAGACTGTCCCCAAAGGTTTTCCCCAGGTAACGCCCGTAACTCTCACAACAACCATGTGAGGGAGATATACGGTATTAGCCTCCACCTTGCAGGCGAGGAAGCTGAGACACAGAGGAGTTCATTAACGTGCCCAGGTTCCGCAATCAGCCGTCAGCAGAGGCAGGGTGGTGGAGCCCATTCCCTAGCTCACCACGCCATACTGCCTCCCACAGTGACAGCGTACTCGCTTGAAGGCAGGGGATGAACGGCATGAACTCTTGGGGTTCCTTCTCCAATCCCCTAGTAGTTCCTGTCCAAGTCCCAGGTCGCCCGTAAGTCCTTGTCCTTGTCCTCTATCTCTTCTTACTCTTATTTCAGATTATCCCAAAGCAGGACCCAGGAATCGCATGGGAGCCTGGGAAGCGTCTGGCTCTGGGACCCCTGACAACAGCTTGGGGGAGGTCCTGCCCACCTGGAAGCTGAGCTCCCCTCCTGCCCTGGGCCTGATCTTGACCTCTTCTTCCCACAGACAGTAACTTCCTCCTGGCCAACGCACAGGGCCCACGGGGCTTTCCCATCGTCTACTGCTCTGACGGCTTTTGTGAGCTCACAGGTTACGGCCGCACCGAGGTCATGCAGAAAACCGGCAGCTGCCGCTTCCTCTACGGTCCCGAGACCAGTGAGCCAGCCCTACAGAGGCTCCACAAGGCCCTGGAGGGCCGTCAGGAGCACCGGACTGAAATGTGCTTCTACCGGAAGGATGGTGAGGGGCCTGGCCTGGCCTGCAGCCCTGCCCAGACCCCAGGTTTTACCCAGAGTCCACTTGGCACAATGAAAGCTTGGGTGCTGGCCCCTGCCCCGCGCCCCCCCCCCCCCCGACACTGCCACAAGCTGGGTAACGCTGAGTGCATCCCTGACCCTTTCCGGCCTTGGTTCTCCCATCTGGAAGGTGAAGGAGTCAGCGTTGGACTTTTCCAGCTCCAAACTTTTACCAAACCCTTTGACTATGCCCAGGAACCAGGGGGTCAGGGATGCCACGGCTGCTCACCTTCTCCCTCCATCTTTCCACACCTACAGGCTCAGCCTTTCGGTGCCTCCTGGACGTGATGCCCATCAAGAATGGGATGGGGGAGGTTGTGCTTTTCCTCTTTTCCTTCAAGGACATCACTCAGAGTGGAGGCCCAGGACCCGGCCCCTCTGGAAGCCACGGGGACAGCAATCATGGTAACCGCAGGTCTGGGGAGAAGGCGCGAATGGTCAGAGGTCCTTGCCCAAGGTCACACAGACCTCTCCCTCCCCAGCCTCGTGGGATGAGCCCCCATTTATCGCCATACCTTTCTTTCCAATAGAAAACTCCCTTGGCAGGAGGGGAGCCAGCTCAAGACTGCGATTCGCCAGGAGACAGAACCGGACTGTCCTGCGCAGACTGACTGGCCACTTTGGCCGCCGGGGCCAGGGAAGCATGAAAACCAATCATGTGAGTCCTGTCTCCACTGCAACACCTCCCGGCCGTGACGCCGAGGCCCTGAGACTGCCTCCCTGTTTCCCTGTCTGGCTGGTCTCCCTCCAGTGACTTGTTCCTCTCTCTGCCCATTTCTCACGTCCAACTCCGCTCTAACTCATGCCCCCTCCCCTCCTCCTTCCATCCCCACCGTCCTTGCTTCCTTGTGACTGAGATTACTCCGCTCAGAAGTTGTCACAAGGCTAGGCTCTAGCAGCAATTATATCCCCAACTCTGGCTGATAAAGTTACCTATGGGGGGCTCACAAGCTGTGGTCCGAGGGAGAAAGCCCCCACTGAGGGCCTCCCACCTAGCCTTCATCTAGGACCCCGATGAAGCCACGGATCGGGTCTCCAACCCTCTGTGTAGTCTCTAAGATCTATAAGGAGTGGGGTGTTGTGCCAGTCTCCCCTCAGTCCTGGATATACCGATCTCCCGCTGGCCCCCCAGCACCCAAGAGGAACCTGAGGGAGAAGCTAGTGACCCCTCAAGGTAGGGCTTGTGCCTGATTTGTCATCATATCCTTCAGCAGGGTGAAGGTCACACCTTAAACTCCCCACAAAACATGATGGATTCACAAGGGGCCCTGAGCAGTAGCTTGGCCACGGAAGGGTCCGGTGCCACCCTGAGCCCCTCTCCTGCACCCTCTGTCTCTTCGTGGTTGTGTTCGCAGTGTCCACTCCCTCTTCTCCCCAGCCCCTGCCTCTCCCTCCCCCCGCCTTGGCTCCTCTTTCCCCCAAGTGTCCCCAACCACCACCCCTCTCCCCTTAGAACGTGTTTGAGCCAAAGCCATCAGTGCCCGAGTACAAGGTGGCCTCCGTGGGGGGGTCCCGCTGCCTCCTCCTCCACTACAGCGTCCCCAAGGCTGTATGGGATGGCCTCATCCTCCTCGCCACCTTCTACGTTGCGGTCACCGTCCCCTACAATGTCTGCTTCTTGGGCGATGATGACACCCCCATCACGTCCCGACACACCCTTGTCAGTGACATCGCCGTGGAGATGCTCTTCATCCTGGGTTAGACCCTCTGCCCCACACACCCTGGCGGGTGGGCTGGAGGGACCCACTCATCCTGGCCTCGCTCTGTCCTGGGCTGCAGAACCCAGTCACTCAGAGCCCATCCATTTCTGGGTCTTGAGGTCCTAATGGTCCATGGGCCCTGACTCCTGACCCCTGCAGCCTTCTGCCTCTAGACCTTTCCTCCCTGAAGATCAGCTAAAAGCCCAATCTGTCTCCCCATTTCTAACCCTAACTCCATCCTGGGTCTCTAAGGCTTGTTCCCAGCCTAGCCAGTTTCTTGGCCCTTTGGCCTGAGTTTCTAGACGAAGACACCCTCGTAACAGCCTCTTGCACCCCCAGATATCATTCTGAACTTCCGCACCACCTATGTGTCCCAGTCCGGCCAGGTGGTCTCTGCTCCTCGTTCCATTGGTCTCCACTACCTGGCCACCTGGTTCTTTGTCGACCTTATTGCTGCTCTGCCTTTTGACCTGCTTTACATCTTCAACATCACCGTGGTGAGTGACCCCCGTCCCACCAAGCAGCTAACCTCCCAGCTTCAGCCCAGCATCTCCCACTAAGGGACTGACTCCAAACTCAGACCCAGTCCTTCCCATCAGCCTATCTGTGACTCTTGGTCAGGCATCCGCTAGGGGCAGAGCCCTGTGCTAGGAGCTGAGAAGGACCTGAGAGGGTCTGGGCGCTTGGGGAGCTCAGCTCACAATCTCGGAGGGAAGCTGAGACAAATGAAAAGCTACGTCGAGCTACCAAGGCAGCGTTGGCCTGATACCAAATGAGTGGTACTTTCCTCATCTTTATTGAACAAACAACTGATGAGCATTTAGCTGTCTGTAAAGCGCTGTGTGGGGCACGGTCACTGGGGAAAAGGGACAAGGATTCAGCCTCCAACAGCCAGGCTGGTGATGGGGCCGGACTCCGGAGGGGCCAGCAGGAACAGCAGAGGGGGATGAGGTGGAACACGGGGCCCCGGTACTGTGCATGGAGGCTGGCACGGAGCTAGCTGACCTCGGAGCTCCAGACTGGGACATGGACTCGGGTAAAAAGGATCTAAGATCTAGCCAGTGCTGGGGAGGTCAAAGCAGCCCAGCTGGGCAGAGGCCAGGGTGGCCTGGGAAGGGTTCCTGAGGAAGTTGAGGGAGAGATAAAGGGTAGGGTTTGCTGGCAGGAGATGAAGAGAGAGAGCATTTGGAGGGGGTGAGTGGGGGAGGGGGGGTCATAGCAAGCCCAGACAAGGAGGGAGAGGTTGTGGGGCGAGTTTGGAGGCAGAGAGCTAAGACCAGTGTCCTCCCAGCTCCCTAGGGGCTGCGTGGAATGCCCTTGAGTGGTCAGTTCTGCACCCAGCCAGTAGATAGTAGGTCCAGGGGGAGGGAGTCCCCCCCCTCTGTCCCCAGACCCCTTGGTTCAGGGTGGGGAAGTGGAAAGCGGTTTCCCTGTGTGCTCCTCTCTCTGCCACACTTCGCTATAGTGGGAAACCACCTACATGCAGCCGAATTTAACTAGCTGCCAACAAGCTGTGGGCCTCTTCTCCCGGCTGTGTGCACGGGTATGCACGCTCCCACACACGTGCATGTGCGTGTCTGCCCTGAGGCTCGGGCCATTCCAGGAAGAGCTCCCCACCCCTTCCCATCCCCTGTACAGACTGTGCCAGCTGGGCAGACAGCTGTCGCTGAGGAAAGAGAGAGCTACAGAGAGCCCCTTGTCCCTCCTCCCAGGCCGTGCCCCATCCTGTGGTAGCTTTAGGAGCACTTGACAGTTTCCTAAGTTCTTTCACATATCATCATCACATAGGAACCTCCCAATAGTCCTTCAGGGCAGGTTCTCTTATCCCTCTTTTTCAGAGGTGGGCACAGAGGCTCAGAGAGGGTGAGTGGCTTGCTGAAGGTCACACAGCTAGCAGTAACAGGCAGGAGATTGGAACCAGGTCTCCAGACTCCTAGTCTAGTGTTCTTTCCAACATAGCACCCTGCTTCCCAGGAAACCAGGGTACCCGAGTGGATGGTCTGGCATACAGGGAGGTGAGGAGCAGTGCTGGGACTGGAGGAGGACACGGCAAAGAGAGAGGATGAGGAGGCACCAGCAGAGCAGTGGAATGGAAGGAGCCAGGCCTGGGACAACTGGTCCAAGGAGAGGGAGAGGAGGGTCCCAAGGGAGCGGGGCCCAGGGACAGGGACTGGGGGAAGTCCTGAAGGACTAAAGTCAGGAGCTCTGGGAGGTGAGGGCAGGCGTTAATTAAGCCTTGGAGAGGGTCCGTATGGGGGGCTCAGGGCCACCTCCATCAGCTAACATGAGAGAGAATGGGTGAGGTTGTTCAGGAGCCATGTAGGGCCAGGGCTACAGGGATGCTGCTGGAGGCCCCTGAAAGGACAGTGAGGGCCGTCAGACCAGGGTACCCACGCCCTGTCCCAGAGCCCCGCCCTAGTGGTGAGAAGATGAGCCTCCACCTGCTCCTCCTCTCCAAGGTTGGGAGAGCTCGCTGAGGCATTAATAACCAAATGGAAACTGTGGTGGTGGTAATATTAGCCAACATTTACAGGAGCCTTCCTAGGGGCCACTGGCTCCACAAACCCCCACCAAGCCCCACAAGGGTTGAAATCTCGAAGCCCAGGCTCCCTCAGTCCCTGATCTTCTTCCATCAACATTTCATTGGCAGCCGACCCACAAGAGGAAAGGGCCCTAAACCTAAACCTTTCCCAATCCTAGCCCGCTCCCACCCTACCATGCCTCTCTCTGTCTCGAGGGTGACTCCCACCACAACTGCTGTCGTCACTAGCAACCACTCTTGTCCACAGCTAAGTGTGCTAGGACACGAGGGGCTTTTGTAGGGGCCAGAGGTCATTCTGCCTACCCCCCTGCCTTTGGCCAGGACTTCCTCCTCCCCAGCCCACAGTGCTAAGGGGCAGCATGACCCAAAATGGACTCTGGTGTGAGCCCAGATCTGAGTCCCAGCTCTATCATTTCCTTGGTCTGTGACCTTGAGCAAGTCACTAACCTCTCTGAGCCTTCGTTTATTTATCTGCAAATTGGGAACAATGATGATAATTGGACTGAAAGCATAACTTTTAAAATGAGGATTACAAGTACTTAGCCCAGTCCTGACACATAGTAAGTACTTACCAAGTGTTGGCCATTATCAGTTTTAGTATTATTCTCCGTCCCCTGCAGTTCCTGGTCAGCCTCCCAAGAGAGAAGAGGTGTTCTTCCTGCTGCAGCTTCCCCTGGCCCCAGGGCATCTGGGGGTGGGACACGGTTGGGGGGGAGGCGAGGAGGCTCTGAGGAGGCTCTGACAGCCTCCCCACACACTCCTGCAGACATCGCTGGTGCACCTGCTGAAGACAGTGCGGCTGCTGCGGCTGCTGCGGCTGCTGCAGAAGGTGGAGCGGTACTCGCAGTGCAGCGCCGTGGTGCTCACGCTGCTCATGTCCGCCTTTGCGCTCCTTGCCCACTGGATGGCCTGTGTCTGGTATGTCATCGGGCGCCGGGAGATGGAGGCCAACGACCCACTGCTCTGGGACATCGGTGAGCCCCTGGCCCCGGACTTTCACTGACCACCCATCCACCTGCCCTGTGCACTCTGGCACCCACGCGGACGCCTTCACCTGTACCGCCACCCACATTCATTTCTCTATTCACCCAACCAACATGCATTGAGCTCCTTCTGGATCAAGCGTGGGAGCGCTGATTTGCAGACAAGGGCTTTGCCTTGGGGGGACCTCACAGCCTAGCAGGGGAGCAAGACGGGTGATAGGCGATCAAAAAACAGTACGGGACACTCTCCAGTAGTAGGAGGGTGTTTGGGGCAGAGGGAGCAGTACTCCTCCCTGGCTCCTTCTGGTGGCTCCCTGCTGCCACCAAAATCAAGTCCACATGCAGTGCACGCCCTCTCTGTCCCTACCTGGCTCCTCTTTACCCCCCCGCCCCCCTGTGCCGCAGCCGCACTGGCCTCCTCCAGCACCCGCGCTGTACTGCTCTCTCACTCGGGGCCTTGACCACGTTTTCCTCTCCGGAATCCTTTTCCTTCTGTCTTCCCTCCCTTCACCTAGGTGGCCTGTCTGTTCCTTGCAATCTCAGCTAAAATGCTCTGTCCTAAGGGAGCTTTTCAGGGACCATACTCCCTACCACCCATTGTATTGGCTTTCCCTAACCCAGTATGACTCCTAAGATACCCTATAGTTCCCTTTTATTCAATTTTTAATTTTAAATATTTTTATTGTTGATAGTATTACAGATGATCTCCCATTCTCCCCCACCCCCACCCCCCACCTTTCTTCTTCTAGTTCCCTTTTAGTAGCTCACCTCCCACCTGCAATGATTTATTTGGTGTCTCTTTCCCCTCCAGACCGTCATTCCCACCAGGGCAGGGAGAATGTCTGGCTGGGTCAAGTCCCAGCCCCCTGTGCACAGGAGGCACTCAGTAAACGATTCGAGTGTGGCCGAGGCCCCTGAGCAGTCAGCAGTATGGAGAGTTGGTAGCCTTGAGCTGCAACTGTAACCAGGCTCAGGCCAAGGCTGCCCATGCAAACCTCCCCTCCCCGCTGTAAATACTTGACTGAAGCCGAGTGCAGGCAGCTCGGGGAAACCCGGTTCTCCACCACCTGCATCGTTCCACCCTCAGGCTGGTTGCATGAGCTGGGCAAGCGGCTGGAGGTGCCCTATGTCAACAGCTCGGCGGGCGGCCCGACGCGGCGCAGCGCCTACATTGCCGCGCTTTACTTCACGCTCAGCAGCCTCACCAGCGTGGGCTTCGGCAACGTGTGCGCCAACACTGACGTGGAGAAGATCTTCTCCATCTGCACTATGCTCATAGGCGGTGAGGCCGGCCCGCCCAGCCACGCGTGCAGATAGGGAGATCGGGCCCAAGAACGCCCTCCAGACAGGCCTGCATTCATGCATAGACGTTTCCCCTGGCCTGCTGCATACCGGCCCTGGGGGGCTCCACAAACAGGCATGGTGTCTTGTTCAGGGAACGGGAAACTCAAGTTCATGACCTAATTGGGGGGGGGCGGGGGATGAGAGGAGCATCAGGTCTGACCCCTCTCAGAACCACTCTCTAGTCCCCTCCCAAGCCAGCCCCTGCCATCAGGTGGGCACGTAGGAGCCCACTGGCCCTCCTGCCCTTCCCGGGAGCCCAGAGGCCTGTCCAGGGCAGGGTGGGTTTGGGAACGGACGGCCACCCTAACCTGCCGCCCGCCGCCAATGCTGCAGCGCTGATGCACGCCGTGGTGTTCGGGAACGTGACGGCCATCATCCAGCGCATGTACTCGCGCCGCTCGCTCTACCACAGCCGCATGAAGGACCTCCAGGACTTCATCCGCCTGCACCGCCTGCCGCGGCCGCTCAAGCAGCGCATGCTCGAGTACTTCCAGACCACGTGGGCTGTCAACAGCGGCATCGACGCCAACCAGGTAGCGTGCCGGGGCTCCGGGTCTTTGCCGCATGGCTGCATGGCCGTCCGATGGGGAAGAGCGCACAGCCTCTCCGGGTTTGGAATGGAGGCAGATGGGCTACGCAGCGGTTCTCAACCTGTGGGTCGCGACCCCTTTGGTGGTCAAACGACCCTTTCACAGGGGTCGCCTAAGACCATCCTCCATATCAGATATTTACATGGCGATTCATAACAGTAGCAACATTACAGTTATGAAGTAGCAACGAAAATAATGTTATGGTTGGGCCACAACATGAGGAACTGTATTTAAAGGGCCAGAAGGTTGAGAACCCTGTAGCCGCTACAGGGAGGCGAGGTGTTATTCACAAGGGCATGTGCCCACTGAAATCCACAGCCCTTTTCCCCTGCACTAGAATTTGGGACATGAAAGGGAGCTCAGGCCTTAGCTAATGCCACGCTCCCTTCGGCCAACAATTCCCGAGCACCCGCTGTGGGCCAGCCTCTGTGCTGAACACAGGGAGCTCCGAGCTGATCACAGCTTTTCCCTCAGGGAGACCCCGGCCTGGTAAGGGAGGCAAACAGGTAAATAAATTACACAGTGAATGGGACTCTGCTGCAGGGGTGCACCTGCCACTTGGGATCCCCATTGTGTTGCGTCTGGGCCTAGAGGAGTACGGGCAGGTGGCGCCGTGAGGGACAAGAAGGAAATCGGCCTGCTACCAGAAGGCCGTTCCAGACAGGAAGAGCGAGAGGAGCGCAGGTCCAGAAATGTTGACACAAAAGAGCAGCGTGAGTTCAGGAAACTGAAGGTAGTTCAGTGAGCCTTCAGGAACGGGAGTGTGGGCACCGTGGCGGGTGGAGAGGGAGAGGAGTGTGAGAGCCAGGGTGGGCAGGCCCAGGTCATAGATGCCCTTGACTTCAGATGTTATCCTGCAAAATGCTGAGGTTGGGGAGTGGCCTGGGGATCTAGGAGAGATTTCTAAGCACAGGCACCATGGGACTTGGTGGTCCTGGTTGCAGAAGAGGAGCTCAGAGTGATTCCCGGGTTTCTGGCAAGGGGTGCGGTGGGGGTGTTACAGGGAGAAGATTGTACTTGGGGGTAAAAATGAGAGCCCAGTGTGGGGCCATGATGAGAGTGTGGTGCCTGTGGGAGGTCCCGGTGGAGTCTGCCCCGTAGGTAGTTGAAAATATAGGTCTGGACCCAGACGTAGGGCTCTGGGCTTACAGCAGCGGTTCTCAACCTGTGGGTCGCAACCCCTTTGGGAGTTGAAGGACCCTTTCACAGGAGTCGCCTAAGACCATCGGAAAACACATGTATAATTACATATTGTTTTTGTGATTAATTACAATGCTTTAATTATGTTCAGTTTGTAACAATGAAAATACATCCTGCCTATCAGATATTTACATGACAATTCATAACAGTAGCAACAGTATAGTTATGAAGTAGCAACGAAAATAATTTTATGGTTGGGGGTCGCCACAACATGAGGAACTGTATTAAAGGGTCGCGGCATTAGGAAGGTTGAGAACCACTGGCTTACAGGGAGTGGGGGAGCCATGGAGCTGGTTGCTATGATGCAGGGAGAGGCGGCTGGGGAGACAGTGGGAACAAGAAAGAGATCAACAAGCCACAGTGGTTGAAGGCCTCCATTATATGCGGGTGGCACTGTGACTATTAAGTTTAGGTCTGGGAGGCCATTGATAATATTCAAGATCTAGTGTAACCCAGCAATTTACAGATGGCCCAGAGAGAGGACATGGACTGCTCAAGATCCACAGCGATTCAAAAGCAGAGTTTGCATTTGTGTTGAGAAACCAGGGCGTGTGTGAGCGACTTAGTGCGTAACCAAGGGCTGTGGGCATACGGGAGAAGACCTAGTCTCTGCCCCAGCAGTTGGGTTGGGAGGTCCACACACAAGTAAAATTGAGGTCAGAAATGGGTAACTTCGAAGCACAGGCCAAGCTGGAGCTATCTCCTTGGAGACAGCTCAGCACGTTTGCAGACATCAAGCAGCAGCTGCAGGGGGACGGCCCGAATGACCTGTCCCCTTATGCAGTTGCTGCGTGACTTCCCGGATGAGCTGAGAGCTGACATTGCTCTGCACCTGAACCGGGAGATCCTGCAGCTGCCGCTGTTTGGAGCAGCCAGCAGGGGCTGCCTGCGGACCCTCTCCCTGCACATCAAGGCCTCATTCTGTGCTCCGGGCGAGTACCTGCTGCGCCAGGGGGACGCTCTGCAGGCGCACTACTACGTCTGCTCAGGCTCGCTTGAGGTGCTCCGTGACAACATGGTGCTGGCCATCCTGGGTGAGGAAACCACCACCGCCTACTACCTACCCTGGAACCTTCCCCAGAGGCCTTGTGAGTGGCCAAGAATCTAGGGCCTGGGATGCTTTTAGTGGACATCTGGAATTCTGCTGAGGAGGACTCTTTCTTGGTCCCTTCACCCTCCTACCATCCCCTCTTGACCGTTCCCCTCAGACTCTCCCCTAATCCCATTGGCCATCCCTCAACCCATCAACCCTTCCCCAGTGACTGGTCCCCCAAATAAATTGATTCTTCATCATTGACCTTCAACTCCATTGACCTTTACCCTTTAACTGACCCCTCTGGCCATTCTTTATTGATCACTGATCAATTCCATTGGTCATTCCTCCAACCTTACTAACACCCCTCGTTAACTGTCTCCCAACTTCAGTCATTCTCCACTAACCTTTTCCCAATTCCATTGATCATTTCCACCAATCCCACCTTCGGCCATCCTTCAAACACACTGGCCACCCCTCAAACCCATTGACTAGGTATATCCTCTTGGTCCCTCTCCCCAGTGACTGGCCACGGCTCACTGTCCCCATCCCTTACCCACAGGGAAGGGGGACCTGATTGGGGCAGATACCATTGAGCCAGGACAGGAGCCTGAGTCAGGAGCAGGCCCGAGCTGTGTGCTGAAGACCAGCGCTGACGTGAAGGCACTGACCTACTGTGGCCTGCAGCAGCTGAGCAGCCGAGGGCTGGCTGAGGTCCTGAAGCTCTATCCTGAGTATGGGGCTGCCTTCCGGGCTGGTCTGCCCCGGGACCTCACCTTCAACCTGCGCCAGGGCTCTGACACCAATGTATGTAGACCCCTACAACTTCCATCTCCCCTGAGGTTCCTTCCTTCCAAGCATACCTCCCTCAGCCCTAGAGAGAGCCTCATGCATTGTCTTCCACCCTTAAAACATACTCATCCCCAGGCACCCCTGGCCATTGCCCCTTCCATATTTAACATCTTCCAATCCCACTGACCCTACTCCATTGGCCATCACCCAACCCCATGGACCATCTCTCACCACATTTACTTCCAACTGTACTAACCCATCTCCTGTTGGCCCACCCTCAGCTTCCCTCCAGAATCCCCAAAGGACCCCCACGTCGGAAACAATCCCCCTCGTGTTCCTCATCCACAAAGTTCCTCTCTGGACTGGGCACCATCCCCTGGGGCTTCCTCACTCACCAAATGTTTCCTGAGCCCATTTTGGTTTAGGTCTGTAGGGTACACCCTAGGCCTTTGTCTTTTACTGCTTTTCACATTGACTTTCCACTCAGGATTTCTCTGAGTCAGAGTTGGAGGTATCTCTGACTCAGATCCACAAAAAGGCTCCATATTCTCAAACCCCACAACACTGATGGGTGAGGTGAGGAGGTGTTGCACTAATGGAGGGGGAAGGCGTGAGTAAGATGACCCCCTCTGTCCCCACAGGGCCTCAGCCGCTTCTCCCGGTCCCCCCGGTCCCCTCGATCCCCTGGGCCCTCCCAGGTAACATGCCCTTCCTGGGTGGAGTTGAGGTTGAATGGGGGAGAGGTGGGGGATGGGGACACCTTCTTTGGCTCCTCTGCTGCAGGGAGAAGGGAGAGGGGATGGGGAGCATCATCTGCCAGTGAAGACTGTTGCTTAATGAAGGGGCCTGTTGTTCACTGTCCTGCAACACCAGCTGCTCCCTCTGCCCACAGCCCCGCTCCGAAAGCCGTGGCTCCTCAGACAAGACCCTGCCATCCATCACCGAGGCCAAGGCTGAGTCAGAGCCCGGAGGTGGTCCCAGGCCCCGCCGGCCCCTCCTGCTGCCCAACCTTAGCCCAGCAAGGCCCCCAGGCTCCCTGGTCAGCCTTTTGGGCGAGGAGCTGCCTCCATTCTCAGCCCTTGTCTCTTCCCCTTCCCTGTCCCCATCCCCATCCCCTGCCCTGGCTGGTCGAGGCCACAGCCCCTCCTCTCATGGCCCCCCCAGGGGCTTTGCTGCCAGGAAGCCACCCCAGCTTCTTATCCCCCCACTGGGAACCTTTGGAACTACGGACCTCAGTCCTCGGTGAGACACCAGCCTCCCCTGCCATTCCCATACCACTGCTGGCTTCCAGAACCTTCTCTGGGCTCTGTCCCCAGTGCTCCCCCCCGTCTCTGCCCCATGTACCCCCTGTGCCCTTCCTGACCCACCACAGCTTGCAACCCCATCCCACCCTTTTGACCATTGCTCCTCCCCAGCTCCCTGGCACTGCTGCCCCCACTCACCCTCCGCCTGCTCTGCTCTGGCCCTCACCCTCGCCCCATGGGATTGATGATCACTGCCTCTGTCCCAGCATAGTGGACGGCATTGAGGACTCCGGCAGCACAGCAGAGGCTCCTACATTCCAGTTCAGCAGGAGGCCTGAGCACCCTAGGCCCCGCTCTCAGGCCTCCCCTACAGGTAAGGGCCAGCAGTGGACTTCCACTCATAGTCACCCATTCACCTGCCATTCATTCATTCACCCCTTTATCTATCCATCCCACATGTAGTAAGGGCCTTACCATGTGCTGGGTGCTGTGCTGGGAATACACAGATTAAACCAGACCTGGCCCACACTCCTAGTGAACTCCCAGTCTAGTGGGGGAGACACACCTGTACTCTCAGATAAATGATTCCAGAACAGCATGCCGAGTACCACAACCGAGACAGGAGCAGGGCTCTGAGGTAGGAAAGGAGAGCTCCCTTAACTGTCCCTCCTAGAGGAGGGGGCTCTTGAGTTGGGTCTTAAAGGGTGGGTAGGAGTTTGAGGGGTTGGAGTAAGGCAGTTGTTGCAAGGCATAAAGGCATGACAAGAGCATGTTATGCTTAGATATCAAAAGGAAGATTCGTGCCTAGAGCTGGGGCGACCGGCGGGGGGGGGGGGGGGGGGGAGGGAGGGTACTGGGGAAGTCATAGGGCCTCAAAACCAGCCTAAGAGTTTGGTTTCCCCATCATCCTGACCCCAGAGCTTCCTTTCCCCTTGCTCTCTGCCTTCCCAGCGACTGGAGGGGGCCCAGCCCAAGCTGTAACTCATGCTCCCTGCACTCACTGCCTCCCTTTACCCCGTCCTGCCTGCAGGGACCAGGCCCAGCCAGGAACTGGCCACTGAAGCTGAGGAGATGAAGGAAAAGGTCTGCAGGCTGAACCAGGAGGTTGGTTGGGGCTGGTTCCTCGCCTCCACCTTTGGAGAATATCATTTTGGGAATATCATACAAACCGTGTCAGGATTTGGAGTCAGAGTCCTGAGTTTAAGTATTCACACTAGCCCTAGCCGGTTTGGCTCAGTGGATAGAGCGTTGGGCTGTGGACTGGAGGGTCCCTGATTTGATTCCAGGCGAGGGCACATGCCAGGGTTTCGGGCTCGACCCCAGTAGGGGGCGTGCAGAAAGCAGCCGATCAATGATTCTCTCTCATCAATGTTTCTCTCTCTCTCTCCCTCTCTCTTCCTCTCTGCAATAAATAATAAAATAACATAAATATATGTACACTAGCTGGGAGACCTCGGGCAAGTCCCACAGCCACTCTGAACTTTGATTTCCTCACCTAAAAATGGGGGAAATAATGCGTTCTTCCCCCTGTGGTTGTGAGGATGCAATGAGCGCACACATGCCTGGCCCAGTCCCCAGCACAGCCTAAGTCCTCATTGGTCGGTGCTGCCCCTCTTGCCCGCCTGGCTCAGGTTGTCCAGCCAGGAAAGAGGCCCGCTCCTCCCTGCACCACCTCGGGGATCCTCTCCTGCACAGAATGGCCCCAACCAAGTCACAATGCCCCAGGCCTTTCCCTCAGCCCAGCCCTCCGGAAATGAGAGCTAAGCAAACACGGGGGCAGAGGACAGGGAGGCTAAGGGGCCTTCAGCCTCGGGGGACCTGGAGCCCAATATCTGAATCCTGGTCAGGAAGAGCCCAGAGGCTGTATGCGGAGGCCGTGCCTCTCCTCCTCCTGGGGGATCTCAGGATTGTAGCCACAGCGAAGCTGCCCAGCCCTGGGGAGTTGCCTTCCCTCCTTCAGATAAACATTGAGCTTCCCAGGGGAGCTCCTGGGCGGGGGCGGGGCCTAGGGCCGGGGGCGGGGCCAGCCCCTGTTGGGCAAGATTGAGGGCCAGCCCTGCTTCTGCTCATAGTTCTAGGCCAGAGGCTCCACACTTATCTATGGGCACCTGGAAAACATGGTAAAGTGCAGACTCCTGGGTCTCACCCCAATTGGAATGTCTGGGGTAGGGCCCAGAAATCACTTTTATAAGTTTCTCCGTTGATTCTGTACTCCCAGAAATTTGAAAAACACTTGCGCTCCTGTGATGGGATCACCTGACAGTCAGGCGACATCTGTCGCTTCAGAGCCCTGTAACCTCTCTGAGCACATTTTTCTGCATCTTGTAAAAGTGGGGTGTTGGGAGGATGGCAATAGCTGCTGTCCCCAATCCTTTTTGGAAAAGGGCTGGGATATTTACATCTAGACAAAAATAACCCCCGCCCTGCCTTCTTCTCCCAGTGACCCTGAGCAGAGGGTGGTTATGAAAGAACTTGGTAAACTGTAGAGGGGGGTGCACCTAGGAGGGGAGTGATTGTGGTGACACCTGGGAAACAATTTGATGTGTTTTCAACAGATCTCCTGCCTCAACCAAGAAGTATCTCAGCTCAGCCAGGAGCTCCGGCACATGATGGGCCTGCTGCAGGCCAGGCTGGGTGCCCCCGGCCACCCGACAGTCTCCGCTTGGCCCTCAGACCCTCCGTGCCTCCAGCAGAGGCCTCCATGCATCTCTCCCTGTCGGTCGGGAACACCATCTAGCATCCAGGATACGACTCTCGCTGAGGTCCACTGCCCAGCCACTGTGGGGACAGCAGAGATGGGGACTGCCCACCCCAACCTCAGACCCTACGTGTTGTCCCCCTACCCCTCAGAGCCTGACCCTCTGGGACCCTCCCCGGTGCCAGAGGCCTCACTTCCAACCCCCAGCTTCCGGTCCAGGTCAGACACGTTCCACTGACCCTGGCCCTGGGCCCAGGCCTGTCTGGGGTGGGCATTGCCACCTGCCGTCAGGGAGGGGCTGAGCCCAGGGCCTCCTGCCTCGGGTCAGCAGCCACCAGCTGGTCTGGTTGGCTCTGGATTCTCAGGACTTTTTCCATAAAGCCTGGTCACTTTCGACCCTCTTTCCTTTTCCAAACCTTCTCCTGTGCTCCTCCTTTGGGAGGGGAGTCACCAAAGGCCGTGGAACCCAACAGGCATGAGACAGAGCACGATGCCCATCAGGCTGGGCAGATGAGATGGCCTGCCTTCTCCCCAGGACCTGGAGGCAGGTAGAGATGGGGGAGCAGACGGGGATGGGGAAGGGCCCCAGATCCAGCCTGGAAAACGAAGAGGCCACCGCAGGCAGAATCTTGGTGCCAGAGGGATAGATTGCAGAGTCCACTGCGGAGACAGCGTAGTGATATTGTGAGGTGTCCCGTCCCAGCCCCTGGTCTCTGGCGGAAACCTTGAGAGCAGTGCTGCCTCAAGAGGGCTAAGTTTCAGATCCTGGCTGGCATTTGAGCAAACCAAGACTTCTTAGGCCTCCTACCATCAACTCGAGCTGGAGGGGCTCACAGCCCACACAGGAAACAAGCGGATGACCCCCAGATATTCTTTGGCTCTCAGCAGTTTTTCAAAATATTAATGAATTGCCAACATTAAAAATCAGGAGAGTATACACAAGAACCGAACTATTCCAGCCTCTCTATAAAATTTTGGGAGATCTGGCAATCCATATTCCACCTGGCAACACTCAGCTGGTGTTGGGTGGCCACTGTCCTCTCTAGTTGGGGACTCTACTCTTCACTTCTCCACAGCCTCCATATTCCTTCATCATCTCCTGACACTCTGCTAACTTCCCTCATTTGAATTATTTATCTGGTCTTTGTGGGGTTTGAGTTTGCAGTCCTTGCCTTAGAGCAGCGGTTCTCAACCTGTGGGTTGCGACCCCTTTGGGGGTCGAATGACCCTTTCACAGGGGTTGCCTAAGACCATCGGAAAACACATATATAATTACATATTGTTTTTGTGATTAATCACTATGCTTTAATTATATTCAATTTGTAACAATGAAAATACATCCTGCATATCAGATACATAACAGTAGCAACATTACAGTTATGAAGTAGCAACGAAAATAATTTTATGGTTGGGGGTCGCCACAACATGAGGAACTGTATTAAAGGGTCGCGGCATTAGGAAGGTTGAGAACCACTGCCTTAGAGTGTGTTTCCAGGATCCTGTGTCCCAAAAGGTACTTTTTGGGCTCAGCAATGTCTATTCCTATTCCTGAGTGTGGGCCTGTCAGCATCTCTGTTTCTCTCTGCAGGCTGTCACTGAAGGTGGTCTCTTCTGTTGCCAACAACTTGAAACAGTTCCAGCAGCACTCCTGCCCCTCCGCTGCCTCCAGACTTCAGCCAAGCCTGCTCTCCCCTTTACCAACATGGTCTCCCTTGGAGCCCTGACTTCTCACAACCTCACCCTGGTCTCCAGTTCTCCTTTACCACTCAACACTTTGGGATAGGAAATAAATTCTTTATTTTTGTAGTTGTTGTCTCTGGCTGTTTCTAGAGGCTGGTTGGAGAGCCCCAGGGCTTTGGAGGAACTACACTGCAGTCACTCCCCCACCATACCCCAGGGTCCTGTTGCTGTGTCTAGAAAGGGCAAAGGCGCCAACCAATTCACTTGGTACCATGTTCACGCCACAGGGGCCTCAGGGATGAGGCAGAAATCTTAATGAGTCACTCTGGGCCATTATATCCCTCCTCTCCCCTCCCCAGTCACAGCCATAGATTCAGACACAGTATGTGGGGGAACAGAGTCCAGGCTCAGCCTCACCTCCAGGCCTGGAAAGGTGGCCATGGAACTCCCCATTGATCCTGTACCTATTGCAGGCCAGGTACAGCAGGGACTGGGGGAAGATCTTGTCACCAGCCAAGAACTAGTAGGAACCCTACTCTGCTCCATCCTCTTTGCTCTCCTAAGCCCTTTCTTCCCTCTTAGCTTCCATTTATCTGATGACCATTGCAGGAGTGGAGGGGATGAGTGTTAGGAATGTTGTTAGAAAGAGGCACCCTGGACACCAGATGGAAATAAGCTGTGAACAGTTTTGTGGCCAGTTATCCCAGAGTTTGATTCAGGCTGCAGGGTATGATTGGTGTTGGCTGCTGTCGTAGGAACAATGCCCACAGCTGTCTCTGGGTGAGCTTTGATTCCATACAGGTTTTGAATAGTGTCCCAAGGGGTGAGATGCAGAAGCAGAGGAGGTATGGTCTTTGTTGGGGAGTAGAGGGTGGGCAGAAGCATAAGTGGTCCTAAATCCATATTGTGGGGAGCAGAAAAGACAAGAGCCCTGATGCCTACGGAGAGGGCGAGGTGGGGGCAAACAGAAGTGGTTCTAATCCGTATTTGTGGATGAGGAGAGACAAGGCAGAAGCGGTCCGGCTCTGCATTTGGCATCAGACAAGAGCTGGTCCTGGTTGTGTGTGGGGCCAGGCAAAGGCAGAGGAGGTAGTCCGGGTGTGTTTTGGAGTCGAGCCAAAGGAGGAGGGTCCTAGTTCACCGCTGGACAGTGGCAGGAGCTCTCGCTTTGATCTCACCCAGAAGCCTCCAGGGAACCCTTCCTACAGCGCTTCCATCACCTTCCCCATCACAGAATGTCCCCAATAATCGGGCTCCCAGAGCTGACTTGGCCCGAAAGCGCAGACGGCCTTCTCCGGGTTAGCGAGAGCTCAGGATCGGACCAAACAGCCTCATTCACACCATGTTTTTCCTCTCCCAATTCTGCAAACAGCCTTCAGCCCTCTTCCAACGCTCCGCCACCCGCTTCTCCTTGGGGCGCCCGGAACCCGCGGTGAGGCGGTTGGCAGGCCGGGCCTTAAAAAGTTCCCGGCCGGCTCCGCCTCGCCCGGAGCGGGCTCCACCCTACGCCCAAGACCCTGGTGGCCACGGGCTCCTCCCAGCGCTGCGAACTACAAGTCCCAGCGTCCCTAGCGCGTGCGCTCCCGCCTCTCCCGCGCCCTCCAAGGGCGCCGCCTTCGAGTCCGCCAAGAGTGCCTCTCATTGGTCTCTCCACCCTGTCAGTCACCTGAAGTATTGAGGGGCGGGTCGGAGATGGAGATCCGGATCCGGAGCCGCTGAAAGGCGGAAGTGGAGGCCGGAGACTCCGCCGGGGGGAGAAGAGTGGAGCCGGTCCGAGCCCTGGCCCCAAGTAACGCCGCCGCCCCAAAGCCGCCGTGAGTGTCCCCGTCCCGGGACCCAGTGTCCCACTCGCGTTGAGATGTCTTCGGGGTAGCTCTTCCTCCCGCCCATTCCGGCTTAGAGGGAGACTGACCCCTCCCCCGACCCGTAGCCCCCTCTTAAGGAGTTCCTCAGGCGTCAGGCCAAGAAGGGAGCTCTTCTTTCCTTCCCTTACCTGCCTTTCGTGCGCCTTGGGAAACTCTCCTGGCTCCCCTCTGGCCTGTCCAGTCCGGGTGTGGGAGGGAAAGACCCTAAGTTCCGCTCCCTCTGCTCCCAGAATTGGAGGAACCTTTGCCAGGTGTGAAGGAACCTGTCTCCCTTCTCTTTTAGAGGTGGTGGGGAGTGCTGTCTGTCGCCGTTTTCCTCTCCCCCTTCCCACAAAAACAGTTGTCTCTCCAATCCTGGAGGGGTTTTGTGTCAATTTCCTGGAAGGGCGGGGGGTTGGGGGGTCCTGGGTGCGACCGCCACACCGCACAGGCTCGCACAACTCCTTACTTCCTCTCTTTCCTCCAGCCAGAGCGCCAACCAGGATCTCAGCAGAGTTCAAGCAGGAATGAGCTGTCTTCTAGTCTTGCCCCCTCGACCCCAGCCCTGCCCCCTAGTTATGTTGTTCTGTAGTTGTGTTATCCAATGAGCGTATCTCCCTTCCTGCCTCTGAACATTTTAGCTGAGGTTTGCTCAATTCTGGCTACACAGCTCAGGGTGGACCTGCCCATTCATTATCTTCTCATTCCTCTCCTCCTCCCTCCTTGCTCCAGGCTCAGGACTGTCCTTCCAGAGCATGTGAGTGGTTTTCAAGCTGCTTCAGAGGGACTGCTCCTCCTGGGACTGCTGTCTGCTGGTCTTTAGGAAGGAGGAAAAAAAAAAAAAAGACAAAAAAAGAAGAGCCTGGAATTCAAGGGTCCTGGGCTATCTCTTTCAAACCTCCCCCCACGCCCCCAAACACACACATACCTCCCTTATCAACAGGTAGATGCCACTTCTAGTTCCAGACATCTCCAGTCCCTTCTGGGCTTGAACCGATTGTAGATTACAGAAGAATAAATGGAGATCACAGTGGCACCTTTGGGTTCTTCGTGTGCTAATTTTTTAGCCCAAAGAACGTCCATACAAGCCAGAAAGTGCTGATTCCCCCAGCCTTTCCAAGAGACAGCCCATGCTGACATCTGATCCTTTTCTATTGCTTGGGACTTAGGTGTGTGAAATGGCTGCTGCCTCAGATCTAGCTGGGAGGTTCTTTGTTATGTGACCAAAGTACAGGCCAGAGACTGTACCTTAATGAGAGCAGCCTGACTCTTTGAGGCCACGGCTGACCCTGGCTATCTACAGCAAAGGAAGGGAGGGAAGGCCACGCTATCTTTGGGAATTTCTTCAGTGTTCCAGCCTATCTTTACTGCCCTTGGATGCTACTTACAAGGGGTGGTTGCTTTCTTTTTTTTTCTTTTTTGCCTTGAGATCTTTTTGACTGCTTCTGGACTGTCACCAGTGTCTGATTCCTACAAACTTTTGAGCTAGTCCTTGGATGCACTTACTTCATTTTTCATTGGACAATAGAAGCACCTTCCTTATTAGGATCAACAGTCAGATCACAGGCTCTCTATCCATCTGGGCTTCTTTGGAGGGTCACTGGAGACTTCTGCAGGCAACCTAGTTTCTCTTAACCTGGTTAGCCTGTGCCTCTGAGGGCAGAGCCAGGGAGGCCTGACTGCTCACCAGGCCTGCTGACCAAACTTACCTCCTTAGTAGGAGGCTGTGGCTTCTGGAACTCGGGGAGTCTCAGGATGAAGCTGACCAGTCTTCTGAGGGGACCTTCGTTGTCGGGACATGCTCTCCCAGCTCCGATTCTGTAGTCGGCTTTTGAAGGAGACGCTGTCTCTTTCGGAGAGACAAGGAAAGCACCAGTGCTCCGGGTGGTTAGGCAGCCACTTCTGGCATCCAGACATCTCAAGAGACCTGACACTGCTTGGCAAAAAGAGAGGGCTCTGTGTGGGGTAGAAGCCCCTCCTCTGTGATGCCCTTCCTCTCCCCTCTTGCCTCTTACCACTAGTAAGCCTTTTTCTGCCTTTATACTACAGAAGGGTGGTAACTAATTTTCAGAAGTTCTTTTCAAGTTGCAAAGTTCTTTTCACACATGTTCCTCATTAAGAGTCCTGGGAGATAGTGGGATTTGTACCTCCACCTCAGAGATGCCACCGAAGGAATTGAAGTAGTTTCCCTTGGAACATACAATTGGAAAGTGGTTGAGCCGGGACTTGGGATTTGGGATTCAATGTGCCTCGACTTCCCTAATAGTGGGCCCTCCTTCGGTCTGTTTGTTAAAGGAATGAACATGCAAAGCGAACAGCCAGTGGCCCAAATACAGCCCCTCTAGCATTGCGCATCACTGGGATCCTCTGCTTCTGGTTTTTGTCCTCTCTCCTACCCTCCCCTCCTAGCCTCATTCTTGACCACCTTTTCTTCTGCCTGTGGAGACCATGGCAGCTATGACTCCTTTGTCCCTACTCTGTTTGGGCCAAGAGTTTGCTGATATCTGCATGCCATTAATTTTGTAGGAACCTGAAAGTCATGATGGCTAGGAAATGAAAGTAAAAGAGAGTGGACCCCGGGATCCCTCTAGACCAGTGGTTCCCAACATGGGGCACACGTCCCACAGGGGGGCAGTTTGAGTTTTTAAGGGGGGCAATTCGAGAATGAGTTAGTAACAGTGAATGTTTTTGCATTTTTTATGGTTCTAGGGGCCTCATATACAGTATATAAATATATATTGTGACGTATTTATGCATTTCAGTTCTCTTGCACGTTTTGAAACTTTATTTGCTATTTTTCATATCACTTCATATTATTATTTTTTTTAACAATTTCTTAGTGATTTCTTCCTCAGTACTTCAGCTGTCCTTTCGTTCTTTTATTTTTCTCTTTCATGGATGCCATGTTCTTTGGAAGCTTGTTTAGAGCACATTAATGGCCTTTTAGGCTTCTGCCACATGGATAGGAGTTCACTTTCTGAATAATAAGAATTAGCCCCAGCTGGTTTGGCTCACCGAATGGAGCGTCGGCCTGCGGACTGAAGGGTTCCAGGTTCAATTCCGGTCAAGGGCACGTACCTTGGTTGCAGGCCCATCCCCAGTGGGGGGTGTGCAGGAGGCAGCTGATCGATGTTTCTCTCTCATTGATGTTTCTAACTCTCTATCCCTCTCCCTTCCTCTCTGTAAAAAATCAATAAAATGTATTTTTTTAAAAAAATAATTATATGTCACAGGGCAGGGGCATCAGGATTTTAGAGATGCTTAGGTGGGGCAAGGCCAAAA